GGCCGGGGTTCGCGCCGGCAGAATCCGGTCCTGCCTGAAACCGCCCGTCCGTGTAGTGCAGGATGGAGCCGCCGCCGGCAGCAACCGTGTGGATCATCATCATCGGCGCGCGCATGCGGACACCGGCAACTTCGGTCTCGAAGGCGCGCTCGTATTCACCGTCGAAATGACAGACGTCGGTGGAGGTTCCGCCCATGTCGAAGCCGATGATCTTCTCGAACCCGGCCATGCGGGAGGTTTCCACTGCGCCGACCACGCCTCCTGCGGGGCCGGAGAGGATCGCGTCTTTTCCCTGAAACAGATCCGCGGCGGTCAGGCCACCTGAAGATTGCATGAACATCAGCCGGGGGCCTTGTCCAAGCTCCTGCTGCACCTGGTCGACATATCGGCGCAGGATCGGGGAGAGATAGGCGTCCACCACCGTCGTGTCGCCGCGACCGACCAGCTTCATCAGCGGCGAAACCTCGTGCGAAACCGAAATTTGCGGAAACCCGATCTCTTCTGCGGTCCTTTTCAGGATCTGTTCGTGCGCCGGAAAGGCGTAGGCGTGCATCAGGACAATCGCAATGGAGCGGATACCGTCGTCCCAGGCCGACTGCATTTGCGTTCGGGCACTATCTTCATCAATGACCAATTCCACTGTGCCGTCCGCACAGACCCGCTCCGGAACCTCATGAACACTTTCGTAAAGGAGTTCAGGCTTGATGATGTCCTTGGCAAAAATCTTCGGACGAGCCTGGTAGCCGATTTCAAGCGCGTCGCGGAAGCCCCTGGTGATGAAGAGTGCCGTGCGCTCACCCTTGCGCTCCAGAAGGGCGTTGGTGGCAACGGTCGTTCCCATCTTCACCGTCGCGATTTTCTCCGACGGAATCGCGGCACCGGCATCCACGCCGAGAATCTCGCGAATTCCCTGAATGGCTGCGTCCCGGTACGCTTCGGGATTTTCAGACAGAACCTTGTGCGGGTGGAGAGTGCCATCAGGTGCGCGTCCGACAATATCGGTGAATGTGCCACCTCGGTCGATCCAGAAGTCCCACTTGGATGTCATGTTCTGTCCCTTTGTCCTGCCGGTCGTTCGCCAGTCGCGCGGAGCGACAACGCAATTTGAATTTCGGCTTCGATTTACAATGACACTTTATCGATAAATTGTCGATGAAAATCTGTTAGAGGTTACTCGCGAATGACTTTTGCACCCGATACGGTATCGTTTTGAAGACTGATCAGCGTGTGTTCTGGTTCGATGTCAGGAGGGTGAGTCCGCTTGCTCCCCAACCGAATGCCCGGATAGCCTCGCTCCCGCCGTTGCTGAGGAAGATTTCGGCTGCCTTTGAAGTCTCTTGCTCATTGCTGTGAACCAGAAGCAACCATGTGGTTGACTCTTTTTGCGTACCCAAGCTTTCCTTCAATTGGTCGAGTGCTTCTACGGCTTTGAATTGGTCCGGGTCGCGCAGGTAGTAGCTGAGAACTGGTGCGGCAAAGCCCTTGTAAAGGAGCAACCGGTCTTCCGGACTGCTGTTTTCCTCAAAATATTCAGCGATTTGACGCCATTCCGGCCGGATCTTGGTGTTCAGGGTGAAATCCAGCTGCGGATAGGTTAGCACTATCGCGACACATACAAGAGCAACAGGCGCCAGACGGGGAAGCAACCGGGTGGCTCCAACCGCAGCGAGCACGATCAATCCGGGCCATGCGGCGATCAGATACCTGTCGAACAGGATTGGTTGCAGAAGCACGGAATATAGATAGGCGAGGACTGCTGGCCCCAGAGTGTAGGCGAGGCAGACCATGATCTCTTGGCGTGGCGCGGAAGCATCTGCATTTGTTCGGGGCGGACTGAAAGAGGCCATCAGGACACCATTGAGGGCCAAACCAATCAGCACCCAGAACAAAGCCAACGAGCCAGCAAGCCCGAAGACCAGCGTTTCCAGAAACGGAAGATCAGGATAGGCAATCCAGAAACCTTCGTCGGCGACTGACCGGGCGCGTTTCAGAATCAGATACAGCCACGGCAAAAACGAAATCGTGCTGGCAGCCATTGCCAGACACACCACGACTGCATTGTTTCCGGCTAGGCTCTTCGTGCTGCGGATTTGGGCGAGCGCAAAACTCGCGCAAACAATACCGACACCGGCAAAGGCGAACAGTGCGTAGACATGGCTGTAGAGAAAGCAGGTGCCGCCAAAAACCAGCAGTGTGATCCACAAGCATGAAGGTCGCTGAAGGACCTTCAGCACAGCAAACAGAAAAACGAGGCCGCAGGCCGCTAGCAAGGCATACATGCGGGCTTCCGTAGAATACCAGATGTGAAGCGGCGACAACGCCAGCAAGGCTGCGGCGAGCAGCCCGGCTTCCCGTCCTGAAAGGTGCTTTCCGATCAGGTAGACAAACCAGACAGCGAGGACGCCCAGAGCTGCCGAGGGCATCCGCAACGCCATTTCACTGTCTCCAATCAAAGGCATGGCGAGCCACAAAATGACATTATGCAGCGGTGGATAGTTGTCTGCGGCCACCGATGTCAGGAGTTCGGCCAAGGTTCCCTTCGACTGGCTCCACGAGACCGCCTCATCATACCACAGGCTGGTTCTGTCCAGTTCGTAAAATCGGAGGAAGGCGGCTATCATCAAAATGACGACTAGCAGGATACCTGCGGCAGGGTTGGTTGGTTTTTCTCTTTCTGCCAGCTGCACGCCATCAGATCCTGGTTGATCGCTTGAGAGTGAAAGCTAGACAATTCAGTTGCATGAGGAAAGTTTATCTTCGTTGGGGATTTCAGCTCCGGTGGATTGTCGCTAAGCTATTGAAGCTGTTTTAAGGATCCGAACCCTGAAAGTCTGACGTTTGAGCGAGAAATCCACCCCAAAGACCAAACCGGACACCGGTGCAGCCATCGGACCGGTGGTTTCGGCGGCTCATCTGGCCTCCGGAGCGATGCCGGCACTTTCTGAAATCGAATTTGCCGTAACGATGATGGTCAATGCCTATCATCGATGGATGGTCCGCTGCATGTCGGCCAGTGGCTCGGAGGGCCTCGGCCCGCTGGATGTGCTGGTCTTGCACACGGTCAATCATCGCGGTCGCGCAAAAACGCTTTCCGATATCTGCCTGGTCCTGAATATCGAGGACACGCATACGGTTACCTATGCGCTGAAGAAACTCGCAAAAGCCGGACTGATCAGTTCCGGTCGTCGCGGCAAGGAAAAAACCGCGGAAATTACTTCGAAGGGTGAGAAAGCCTGCCTGGAATACAGGAGATTGAGGGAAGCGCTACTGGTCGAGCCAATGAAGGCGCTGGGCCTCGATGAAAGCGAGCTTTCCCGGTTGGCTGCCACTATGCGGCTGGTCTCGGGAAACTACGATCAGGCTGCACGGGCCGCTGCTGCCATGTGAGAAGATCGATAGAGTGCGACACTATTGTGCGTTGCAAACTACAAGATTTCTTGTAAGGTCGAAATATGAAGGAACAGGCAGCCATATCAGCGCTGGGTGCGCTCGCACAGGAAGATCGACTTGCGGCTTTCAGGCTTCTCGTTACGCATGGACCGTTGGGACTGCCGTCGGGCACGATCGCGGAGAAGTTGGATGTACAGCCGACGCGGATGTCATTTCACCTGACCACGCTGGAACGGGCGGGCCTGTTGAATGCGCAAAGGGAAGGGCGGCATATTCGCTATGCGGTCGACTATGAACAGATGAAGAGCCTGCTGAGTTTCCTGATGGAAGACTGTTGCGGCAACAATCCCGAGATTTGCGGCCTGTCGCACTCCAATATCATCAAATCATCAAGTCTTTGACGAAACAGGACCAAAATGACCATTACGATCTACCACAATCCGAAATGCGGAACATCGCGCAATACTCTGGAAATGATCCGAAAATCGGGTGTGGAACCTGATGTCATAGAATATCTGAAAACTCCGCCCAAGCGGGAGGAACTTGTCGACCTGATTGGGCGCATGGGCTGTTCAGTGAGGGACCTTCTGCGCCAGAAGGGTACGCCTTATGATGAGCTGGGACTTGGCGAGGACAAGTGGTCCGATGATCAGCTGATCGACTTCATGCTGGAGCATCCGATCCTGATCAATCGACCGGTCGTTGTCAGCGAAAAGGGTGTTCGCCTCTGCCGGCCGTCTGAAAAGGTTATGGACCTTCTTCCAGCTGACCTTGGTTCCTTCACCAAGGAAGACGGGGAAGTGGTGTCCTCCGGTACCGCGAATGACTGACCTTTTATTGAATGCAACCGATCTGCCGAACATTTCATCCATCGACTTGGACGCGATAGCACCTTCGCATCGGGACGCTGTCGGGCATGAAACTCACCGGCCCCGTGTCCTTCTGCTTTACGGATCGTTGCGCGAACGTTCTTACAGCCGCTTTCTGACGCTGGAAGCTGAAAGACTGCTCAAGGCATTTGGTGCCGAAACAAGGGTGTTTGATCCTGCAGGCCTGCCCCTGCCGGACGATGTTGGCATCGACCATCCCAAGGTTGCCGAATTGCGTGAGGCCTGTACATGGTCGGAAGCACAGGTCTGGTGTTCGCCGGAGCGCCACGGCGCGATGACTGGCGTCCTGAAATCCCAGATCGACTGGATCCCGCTCAGTACGGGCGCGATCAGACCGACGCAAGGGAAAACGCTTGCGCTGATGCAGGTTTCCGGTGGATCGCAGTCGTTCAACGCGGTCAATCAGATGCGTGTTCTCGGCAGGTGGATGCGCATGGTGACGATCCCGAACCAGTCATCGGTGCCCAAGGCCTACCAGGAGTTCGATGATGAAGGCCGCATGAGGCCTTCGCCGCTCTATGATCGTGTCGTGGACGTCATCGAGGAATTGATGAAATTCACCTATCTCGTTCGCGGCAGATCGGATTATCTGGTCGACAGGTACTCGGAACGCAAGGCGGCGCGTGAAAAGGACATGGCGCTGGAACAGGTTGCCCAGGGGGCCGGACTCTAGATCCGACGCAGTGATCGCCTGCATTCATGCTCTCGCGAAGACGCAGCTCAAACGGTCGCTGTCTCGTTTTCTTCTTCTGAAGTTTCTTCCGGAGCGGCAAGCGTTGCGTATTGCGCAAGTTGGGGCGAAAGCGAAATTTTTGGCGGCGGCAGGACTTGCTTCCGTTTTTGCGGAAACCAAAATCCGCCTTCCTCATTGTGAGGGAAGATCGGGTAGGCGGCTTCGTGCTTTGCCACGGTGCCCGGTTTGCCGAACATATAGCCTTGCACGAGATCACAGCCAGCGGCGCTCAGGAGAATGGCCTGTTCTTCCGTCTCTACTCCCTCGGCCGTGATGGTCACGTTCAGGGACCGACCCAGTCCCACGATGGATGTGACGATGGCATCCGTGCTCGTGTCCTTGCCGAGGTTCTGGATGAAGGCCTGATCGATCTTGATCTTGTCGAACGGGAAGAGACTGAGATAGCTCAGTGACGAATATCCCGTACCGAAGTCATCCATAGCGATTGAAACGCCCATGTCGTGGATCTGACGCAGCGTCTCGATCACGGCTTCCGTGTTGGATATGAGCAGGCTCTCGGTGATTTCGATTTCCAGGCGCCTCGGGTTAAGTCCGGACTTGTTCAGCGCCTGCGCCACTCTTTTCTGTGTTTCACCGGCGACGAACTGCCCAACTGAAACATTGACCGCTACCTTTTTGCTCTGATCTTCCCAAAGCATTGCTTCCCGGCACGCGTGGTTCAACACCCAGGTGCCGATTTCGTCGATCAGACCGCAGTCTTCAGCGATCGGGATGAAAAGATCGGGTCGGATTTCCCCTTTGGTGGGGTGCTCCCAGCGAACCAGAGCTTCGTAACCTCGCAGCGTACCGTCGCGCAGCGCGTATTGTGGCTGGTAGACGAGCTTGAACTGGTCAAGTTTGAGTGCCTTGGCGAGCCCGTTTTCGACTTCCTGTCGCTTTTGGGCTTCCGCGTCCAGACCGGGCGTATACCAGGAGAATGTGGACCGACCGTTGTGTTTGGCATGATAAAGCGCAAGGTCCGCGCAGTGAAGAAGACGGGAAACCCGCCAGGAACCGTCTGTGGCACGCGCAATGCCAATGGAGAGCGAAAGCTTGATATCCTTGCCATCGATAATGCAGGGTGCGGAAGTCGCTGCAATCATGTCTGTGGCAAGTCGCGTCATGCGTGCCGGATCTGAGATCGATGTCAACAAAACTGCAAACTCGTCACCTGACAGGCGTGCCACAAGGTGTTTGTGGAAGACCGTCTGCAAGCGTTCAGCGACGATCTGCAAAAATACATCTCCAATACCGTGACCGTGCGTATCGTTGATTTCCTTGAACTTGTCGACATCGATCAGCATGACGCCGACATTCGACGCCTTGGCCTGTGCACTACGCAGTGCTCCAGCGAGCCTGGCATTGAACACAGCCCGATTTGGCAGGCCCGTCAGAGTGTCATGATGGGCAAGGTACTGAATGTTACTGTTCGTGCGGACCTGATCATAAAATCGCATCCAGAGCAGAATGGCGGCCAACGCGAAGGAGAGCAGGCACAGCACGCCGATTGCCGCGCTGATTGACCAGATCAATCCTGAAAGGTTTTCCAGAATACCCGTTTGCGTCACCAGCAGAACGAGACTGGGTTCGACGACATCCGCTCGTTTCGGATTGTAGACGACAATGGCATTGGAACCGAACGCTCCGAGCCAGGTCATGTCCGGAACAACGGTCAGGGCCCGGTCCGAATTGAAGGCGGCCCAGGCGTGATTGAGGGTGCGAACAGACGTAAGTTCATTCTTTGCGAGCCAATCTATCTGCGCAAAATCCGGAAGGTTCGGATTTTCGGCGGACGCGCCCGCCGGATAGACAAGCGCCTGGTTCAGAATGATCGAGTCAGCATGATGCCGTGCCAGCATCTTTTGGAATTTTTCGCGTGTTTCACCAGACATCCGGGCGGCAGCGCTGCTTTCGGCAGGTGGTGAAAGGCGTAATCCTTCAAGCTTCTGGCTGGACTGCGGTTCGAGCTCAACAGCGTAAGTTGCCAGAGCGGTCTGGATATCGGTTTGCTGGTCAGCATAGTTCTGCTCCAGACCACTCACCAGGAGCCAGTGAGTGAGCAGGCGATTGCTGACATAAACCCCAAGCGCCAGCGCAAGCACCAGCGACATGGATACCAAAAATATGACAATGTTGCTTCTGACGAGTGGGATTGCCATCCGGCTTGGTACCGTTTTTCGAACACTTGTATCGCGATCGTAAGCAGAAATCCTTTAACCATCATGAATCTGAGGACATTCTCTTTAGGTTTTAACGAACTTGCAGAGAAGCTGTGGAATTCGCTGCCGTTTCAGGAATGCGTGCTTCGTTCAGCCTTGCTTCTAGTCAAAGCTGACAAGTGCCGATAAGAGTGTGAAGAAGCTTTGATTCGCCACGAACCGGCGGGTTTTGTCGCGCCGTTTTGGACATAGTGGGAGCTTGTAGGTGAGCGTCTGGAGCAGTATCGGCAGCATTGTCAGCTCGATCGGAACTGGCGGCGCTCAAATTATCGACCGGCTCGTGCAGCTTGTCCTGGCGCGCCCGGAAGGCACAAACAGTGTCGGCTTCACCGTCGCGATGATCGCACTTTCCGCAAAAATGGCCAAAGCCGACGGTGTCGTCACGACCGACGAGGTTCTTGCGTTCCGCGAACTTTTCGATGTGCCGCCCAGCGAAGAACGCAATGTTTCAAGGCTGTTTAACCTGGCGCAGGAAGATGTCGCCGGCTTTGAAGTCTACGCAAAGAAGCTGGCCGATCTTTTCCCATATGATCACAAGACCTTGCTCGATATACTCGATGGGTTGTTCCACATTGCAAAAGCTGACGGGGTCGTACACGAGAGCGAAGTAGGCTACCTTTCCAAGGTGGCCGAAGTTTTCGGTCTGGATGAGCGGGAGTTTGGCAAGGTTCTGGCCCGGCATGTTCGGAACGACGGTAATCCGTACGTGGTACTCGGATTGGGACCGGAAGCCAGTGACGCGGACTTGAAGTCCCATTACCGGCGGGAAGTCCAGGAGACGCATCCCGACCGTCTCATCGCACGGGGTGTCCCGGAAGAGTTTGTCCGAATTGCAAACGACCGACTGGCAGCCCTCAACGATGCATGGGCAAAAATCCGCGCGGAAAGGGGCATATGAACGTCGTGACGGACACCGGTGTCGATGCAAGGGTGCATCCATCACCAAACCACGGGCCGCGGGCTCAGGATGCGCCGATTGACATGCTCGTTCTTCACTATACCGGCATGGAGAGCGCTGAGTTGGCGTTGCAACGATTGTGCGATCCGCGCACAGAGGTCTCCGCCCACTATTTTGTCTACGAAGATGGGACCATTCTTCAATGCGTTCCAGAAGCAAGGCGTGCATGGCATGCAGGACGCAGTTTCTGGAAAGGCGAGAAAGACATCAATTCTCGGTCGATAGGGATCGAAATCGTCAATCCTGGCCACGAATTCGGCTATCGCCCGTTTCCGGAAAGTCAGATTGAAGCGGTTGTCCGGTTATCGAAGGATGTCTGCCTGCGTCACGACGTGCTTCCCTGGATGGTTCTTGCACATTCGGATATCGCGCCTGACAGGAAAGAGGATCCCGGGGAGAAGTTTCCCTGGAACAGGCTTGCTGAAGCCGGTGTCGGACTTTATGTCGAACCGCACGCGATTGTCGCCGGATTGCTGATGCAGGAAGGCGACAGAGGTCAACCGGTGGAAGCCTTGCAATCGATGCTCGGGCTTTACGGCTATAATGTCGACATCAATGGTGTCTTTGATGAAAAGACACGTCATGCCGTGAAAGCATTTCAGCGTCACTTTCGGCAGGAAAAAGTTGACGGCGTCGCAGATCATTCGACCATCGAAACGCTTAATCTGCTTCTGCGGCGATTGCCGACTTTCTCGGTGTAGGCCGGATGCCGGTCACACAAGACCGGGAAGGCCAGGCTACCGGATGCCGTTCACAATAGGTGCCTCGACCCACCCGTCACCATCGATTTTTCTATTTTGCACCGCAACAAATTAGATAATTTTGCTGCAGTGCGTCATGAATGGTCTTCAGTTTGTCTGCAAATTGCCGGACGCACGGCAAGATTTCGTCACAAACCCCGTTTTTTTCCGATTTGGGCCTGATTTTTTGGTAAATTTCTGTAACAATTTGAAATAAATCGTGATTGGATTGCGCTAAATTTCGTCCCACGGGTCCTGCATTTCTCCGCTCCGAAATTAACCAGAATGAAAACCAAAAGGGCTGGACGAATGTTACGGTCATTCAATAAACTAACTGGGGCGCTTTGCCTTTTCGCCTTTGCAGCCACTACGATTGCACCCGTCGCGATGGCAGCCGGTTCGGGGTCGGACCCGATCCTCCACGTCATCGACCCTGAAAAAATGAAGAAGAGTGCCGAGAAGCTGGCATCAAGGGAACAGGTAGGCTCCGGTTCGGACCCGATCCTGCATGTCATTTCTCCGAACACGGAAACTTCCAAGAACAAGAAGGCGACCAAAACCACCGCCAAGAAGTCCAGTCCGAAAAAGACCAAAAAGAAAGCGCAGGTCAAACCAGCTTCTTCCAAGAAGACGGTCAGAGCGGCAAATGCTCCGGCCAAGAAGCAGGAGTTTTCCAGGTTGATCCGCAAGGCAGCAGCGAAACACGGTGTTCCGATTAGAATTGCGAAAGCGGTCGTGGAAGTGGAAAGCAACTTCAACCCGAGAGCACGCGGCCGGGCGGGTGAGGTCGGGCTGATGCAGATCAAACCTGCAACCGCGCGAGGTATCGGCTATCGTGGATCCACGAAAGCTCTTTACGATCCGGCGACAAATATCGAGTGGGGCATGAAGTATCTCGCCGGTGCCCATGAACGGGCCAACGGTGATCTTTGCGGCACGATCCTGCGTTACAATGCGGGTCACTATGCGAAGCGGATGAATCCAGTCAGCCGTCGGTATTGCAGCAAGGTCAAGCGCCTCATGTCGTCCAGCTGATCTTTTGACCAGGTAAGTGAGGTCATTGATTTCTAACTGGATGATTGACCTTACTGGGATATAAAACCCCGCTGCAGAGGCAGCGGGGTTTTTTGTTTGCCACCAGCTATTTCAGGCAAACTTTCGTCTGGCTGCCGGGATCGACTCCGGTACAGGAGTGCCTTCCGGGACGTCGTATGCATCGAAAGGCTGCCCGAGTGCAGTTGTGACGGGAACCACACCTGCCCAAAGGTCCGTTCCCAGGTCTTCCGTGTCATCAACCGGCCCGCCTGTCCGGACCTTGGTGCTGACATGCTCCATGTCCATGACAAGGACCCCGGTTGCCTTGTGTTCCTTCGCCATCATTGCGCGGCATTCATCCCAGCGACCGGGTAGAATATGATCGGTGATCGCGGCGAGTGCCTCAATCTGTTTGTCGTGATCCTCCACGAGGTGTGCGGTACCATGCACAATGGCGCAGCGGTAGTTCATCGAGTGGTGGAAAGCAGAGCGCGCGACAACGAGGCCATCGATGAGGGTCACGGTCAGGCTTGCCGGAACACCTTTCGCATTGTCCTTGATGATCCGTGTTGTGCTGGCGCCATGAATATACAGCTTGTCACCAATCCTGGCGTATGCCATCGGAATTACCATTGGCTTGTTTTCGTGTATGAAACCGCAATGGGCCACAAGACCGGCATCAAGGATTTCATTGGCAAGAGCGCGATCATAGCTGCCTCTGTTCATCTGCCTGATCTTTGCATAGCGCGGCAGGTTCGTGGCCTTGCGCTTCTCCAACGTGGACATGGGTATCTCCTGATCCAGGTTTGTCTTGTGCTGACTGGTTTCTTCGATAAACTGGACTTGTAAAAGATCCGGTTTTTAAAAAATGACAGAACCAGTTTTTCCTGAGGGTATTCTGACGCTAGAACGTTCCGGAAGGGTTCCCCTGGCCGAACAGATTTATCGCGGATTTCGCGATGCAGTGCGCAGTGGCCTTCTTGTCTCGGGAACCAGGTTGCCGTCCACCCGCAGGCTTGCGTCGACGCTCGACGTCGCACGAAACACGGTGAATGCGGCTTACGACCTGCTTCAGGCGGAGGGTATCATTTCGGTGAAGGCCGGCGCCGCTCCCAGGATCACCGAGGGACTTCCCCTGGAAGGAAATACGGGCATTCGAGTTGCGCCGGCTTTCAAGTCAAACCTCTCCGGCCGTGGTCTTGCCATGTCGACGAACGTTCGCGGCGAAGCCTGGGCCTCACGTGATGGTGCGCTGCAACCCGGTGCGCCTGCCCTCGATTGCTTTCCCTACGAGGAGTGGGCACGGTGTCTGCGCCGTGCTGCGAGGATGGAACGCAGTCCTGATCTGCAGTATCGGAATTATTCGGGTGTTCCTGTTCTCAAGGAACAGCTTTCGCGTCATTTGGCGGCCGAAAGAGGTGTACGGACCGAGCCCGCGCAGATCCTGATCACCAGCTCGATGCAGGCCAGTCTATCGCTGTTGTCAATGGCTTTGTCGGATCCCGGCGATGAAGCGTGGTTGGAAGAACCCGGTTATCTGGGTGCACGCACTGCATTTCAGGTTGCCGGTTTGAGCATTCGCCAGCTTCCGGTCGATGACCAGGGTGCTGATGCGGAACGCATGCCGGCTACCGGTGTCTCCCCGAAACTGATTTACGTGACACCATCCCACCAGTATCCGCTGGGTGTCCGCATGCCGCTGGGCCGCCGGTTGTCCCTGCTCGAAGCGACACGGTCGGCAGGCGCTGTCATTCTGGAAGACGACTATGACAGCGAATTCCTGTTTTCAGGGCGCCCGGTCGCCGCTCTTTATGGCCTTGCGGAAGAAGGACAGGTCGTCTACCTCGGCACCTTTTCAAAAAGTCTGATGCCAGGCCTTCGCCTGTCTTACTGCGTTGTTCCACCCCAACTGGTCGAGCCGCTTCAACAACTCATGCGCAACATGGGATGTGCTGCCAGCGTTCAGATTCAGGTAGCGCTGGCACAGTTCATGGATAGCGGCGCCTACAAGAAACACCTGAAACATATCCGGAAGATTTACGCGGAGCGCGGGGCTTTGCTCGTCAGGACGTTGAACGAACGTCTCGGCAACAGGGTTGAAGTGGAGGCGCCAAGCGGAAACGTTCAGGTCGCGATGATGTTTCGCGAACAGGTGGATGACAACGCCCTGGCGACAGCAATGCAGGAAAGGGGTTTTGCGGTGTCCCCGCTTGGCAATTGTTATCAGGGCAAGGAGCGCAAGTCCGGCCTGATCATCGGATTTGCGGATGCCAGCGCAAGGCAGATTACTCAGGGTGTCAATACCCTGGGAACGTTGCTCGATAGTCAAGCAACGGTCTCAACTTTCTGAAAACAGGGACATTTTGGGAACGTCCCCTTGAACGATAAGCTTGGCTTCCGTTGCTGATATGACGTCGTCGACGCTGGCCCCCGGGCCGACTTCCTTCAGAACCAATCCATCTTCGGTCGGTTCTATCACCGCCATTTCGGTCACGATAAGGCTGACGCGGCGACGGGCAGTCAACGGCAGATTGCATTCGCGCAGGATCTTTGGTTTGCCCCGGGCCGTATGAACCATCGCAACGATCACATGTTTTGCACCGGCAACCAGATCCATCGCCCCGCCCATGCCTGGAACCATCTTGCCCGGGATCATCCAGTTGGCAAGATATCCGCGTTCATCGACCTGAAGTCCGCCGAGCACTGTCATGTCCAGATGACCTCCACGGATCAGGCCGAAACTCATCGCGCTGTCGATCGATGCAGCGCCGGGAACAGCGGTGACGAAGCCGCCACCGGCATCGGTCAGATCCGGATCTTCCATGCCCTCGGGCGGGCGGGCCCCAAGTCCGATAACCCCGTTTTCCGCCTGAAAGAAGACATGAACCTCTCTGGGAAGATAATTTGCAACCATCGAAGGCAACCCGATACCGAGATTGACCAGTGTGTCCGGCTCGATTTCCTGCGCCACGCGCCGCGCGATGATTTCCTTAGCTTCCATCGGGCTGTCTCTCCAGTAGATGATCGACCAGGATTCCTGGTGTTTTCACGCTGTCAGGTGAAATGACGCCGATCGGGACTATCGTCTGGGGTTCCGCGATAACGGTCTTTCCCGCCAGAGCCATGATGGGATTGAAATTGTGTGCAGTGAGCGAGTATTCCAGATTGCCAACATAATCCGCCTGGTGAGCGGCAATCAGTGCAAAGTCTCCATGGATTGGTTCTTCGAGCAGAAAATCCCTGCCACTGACAGTGACAATCTGCTTGCCTTCTTCAACCAACGTTCCGAGGCCTGTTGGGGTCAGAATCCCGCCCAGGCCGACACCGGCTGCCCTGATCCTCTCCACAAGCGTCCCTTGCGGCACCAATTCAACGTCGATTTCGCCGGAAATCATTTTTTGCTGGGTCTCGGGGTTCAGGCCGATATGTGAGGCAACGACCCTGGTAAGACAGCCTGCCGTGACAAGCTTGCCGATACCGCGCCCAGGCATTGCGGTATCATTGGCAACAATCGTCAGGTCGTTGATGCCTCTGGCAACGATTGCATCTATCAACCTGTGTGGCGATCCAACGCCCATGAAGCCGCCGATCAGCAGCGTTGATCCATCCGGAATTAGCTCAGCAGCTTCCGCTGCCTTGATCGCCTCTTTCATGAGCACGTTCCCACAATCCAACCTGTCATCAGCAGGTTAGCGCTTGTCATGCTGGTTGGACAATGAAAATTGTGCGTCGCGGTAGTCCACGGGATCGCGGCAGTTACAGCACAGGTGTCAGTTTGCGGGCTGCTGCCCTGAGTTTTCGACAGCATTTGCCGCATGATCTGCAGCAGCAAGAATTTTGTCGCTGTCCTGACCGTTTCGGGCGAGCGCATTGAGGCCAAGAAGGCAGGAAAGGGCAAAGGCCGCAAGTTCACGGGCTCTCTTCTCGTCGGGAATACCATTTTGCCGATGGAGCGTGTGGAAAATGCGGTCTTCGAGCACGTTCATCCGCTCGCGCACAAGCGGCGACGTCTGTCCCGTCTCACTTTCTGGACTTCCGGATGAGGTGAGCAACAGGCATCCACGCGGCGTGTTCCGGCCCATGAACAGTCCGACGTGGCGGATGAACTGCGCCACGGCCCGGCGTGGATCTGCTTCCGTCTTCAGGTGTGCCAGGCCGAGTTCCGTAGCCTCACTCCAGTATTTGTTCAACACAGTTGCAAAGACATCGTCCTTGCACCCGAAAGCCGCATAGAAGCTACCGCGTTTTATTCCGGCCACCTGCTGCAGATCGTCGATGGATGTTCCCTGGTATCCTTTTGTCCAGAACACGTCGACGAATGCATCAAGGGCAACGTCCATGTCAAAAGATTTGGGTCGTCCGGCCATTTTCCCTCGTCTGGACTGGCTCCGGCAATTTTTTTGCCGGAGCCGATCAGTTTACTCCGCAGCGATGACAGCCGGATTCCATTCGAATTTCCGGAAAGGGGCGTCAACTGGCGTGTCTGCCAAATGGTTCACATAGTTTGACATGACTTTCTGTGCAACGCCAAGAATGACGTCGAGGATCTGTCGCCGGGTATAGCCCGCTGCAAGAAATGCGTTTGTGTCCTCTTCTGAGACCACGCCACGCTGACGAACCACCCTGAGCGTGAACCGGCGCAGCGCCTCGAGTTTTTCATCCTCAAGCGGAGCCCCGTTTCGCAAGGATTCGATGAGACCGGCATTTACCTTCTGCATGTGCGCGATCGCCGTATGCGCCGGGACACAATAGTGACAGGCGTGTTCGACGTTTATGGCCATCCACACGACGGTCTGTTCGACGACCGAGAGGCTTGTCTGCTGAAAAAGTTCGTGCAGTTTCTGATAGGCCTCAAGATGTTGAGGAGAGTCTGCCATCACGGCGTGAAGGTTCGGAATCATTCCGAAGTCCTTGAGGGAATTGTCCAGAAGTGGACGGCTCTCGTCAGGTGCGGATTCCAGCGTGTGAAGTGTGAAATCGGTCATTTGCATCTCCTGTTTCGGCGTCATTCGACGTCGTTACCGTTTGTCGGTAACCGCGATGTAGGTATTCTGTACTTAGTAGTCAAAAATAAAACCGAACTCCGGAATCGCAAGAATCCGCGGTTCTTGGAACTCTTCAAGCAATCGTGAATTTGACGGTGATACGCTTGGCTTCTTGTCGAGTGAGAACGACGAGGGCTAAGCTGAAGACCAAGATCCGACAAAGGACCAAGGGTCGGAGAGCCGGAGGACAAAGCGCGAATGACTGTCATCCAGGAAAGTCAGGAGACACAAACAGCCCTTCGGGATTTCGGCCGCTGGCTGCTGCAGTCCGGTGGTTTACCCGCCGACAAGACAGAAGATCTGCTGACGAAGTCCAGGGCCTTGCATTGCAGGTCTGGTGAAACCGTCTTTTCGGCTGGAGACACACTGGAAGAGCTGTTTTTCGTCAATTCCGGACTGGTTCGGTATTACTACCTCACACCCGAGGGGAAAGAGTACAACAAGAATTTCGTATCCTCCGGCAGTGTCGTGACAAGCCTGTCTTCCTTTCTGGAGGCAAAACCGGCACCGTTCTTTACGGAGGCTCTTGAGGACACTGTTCTTGTTGCAGTGCCAATCGAACTGGCAAGGAATCTGGCGTCCGATGACATCGACTGGGAACGGCTGGTCGGCCGTTTCGTCAGGGCCCTTGCCATTCAAAAGGAGCAACGGGAGGCATCTTTCCTTTTGAAGAATGCCGAACAGAGATACGAGGCATTTCTGAAAGATTTCAGCGCGTTAGCCATGCGACTTCCACAATATCACATCGCTTCCTATCTCGGCATCACCCCGGTCGCTCTTTCACGAATTCGCTCCCGTCTTGCTTGTCGGCGCGTTTCTTAACCCCGGTTAATGCAGATGGTTTCAGCACTGAACATGATGCCCTCACATTGACCTGAGGACGCATTGGCATGAACAAAACCATCGTTATCACCGGCGGCGCAATCGGATTGGGCCGGGAACTCACGCGGCTTTACTGCGAAAGGGGGCATCACGTCGTGATTTGTGGCCGTACGCGATCGGCATTGGAAGAGGTCAGGTCTGCCCATCAGAACGTGACTGCCGTTTGCGCGGATCTCGCGGCACCGGAAGGCAGACGGCACTTTCTGGAGGAGATCCATGCTCTAGAAATCGAAGTCGATCTGCTGATCCACAATGCGGCGCTTCAATTCACGTATGACTTCGTGAAGGGCTGCGTGCCGGTTGAAAGGATTGAAACCGAGCTTCTGGTCAATCTCCTGTCGCCCATGGAATTGACGACGGACCTGCTCCCCTTGTTGAAAACATCAGGGGACGCCCGTGTCGTCTTCATCTCATCAGCCCTTGCCCGCGTTCCCAAGCGGTCCGCACCGGTTTATTGTGCCAGCAAGGCTGGATTGTCGGTTTTTGCCAGGGCGCTGCGGTATCAGCTCGAAGACACCGGGATTCGCGTCTCGGACGTTGTTCCGGATCTGATTGTGACCCGGATGGCACGTGGCCGCGGAGACAAGGCGCTTTCAGCGCTTGAAGCTGCCGGGAAAATAATAGCGGGCCTGGACAAGGGCAAGGATGAAATTCGACTGGGCCGCGTGCCGATATTGTACCTGTTGCACAGGTTTGTGCCAGGCCTTGCCTACAAGGTGTTGAAGGCTGCATAAGCTCCACGAAAACAGCTGCTTGGATCACTCCTTTGCTTGACCTCTGTCTGAAAGCCACTTAAGTCCGCAGGCGCCAGTCGGCCGGACAGCCGCTGCTGCAAGTGTCGAAAGACCGCAGGAGAGGAAAGTCCGGGCTCCAAGGAAACACGGTGCCGGGTAACACCCGGCGAGGGCGACCTCAGGGAAAGTGCCACAGAAAGCAAACCGCCTCGGCTTGCCGGGGTAAGGGTGAAAGGGTGGAGTAAGAGCCCACCGCGCTACTGGCAACAGCAGCGGCACGGTAAACCCCACCGGGAGCAAAACCGAATAGGGGCAGCGCGGTCCGGAAGCAATTCCGGGCCAGGCCGGTTTCCAGGCCAGCTGTCCGGGTTGGTTGCGTGAGACGCCTGGTGACAGGCGTCCCAGATGAATGGCTGTCGCGTCCGCGAAAGCGGGCCTTACAGAACCCGGCTTACAGGCCGGCTGGCAATTCGTTTCTCATTCACCCGGCCGTGTATTGCGGCGCGCTTGCCAGGGACTCACCATAGGACGCTGCATCCGGATAGGAGAATTGTTCTGCTATCGGGTTGGACCGTTTTGTCTTGCCCGCCCCCATGTCAGACAGAAGTTCGTCGAAATGCCGGAAGTGGAACGGTGCTGAACAAAGGCCACCGTAAACCTTTGCCGCCGGGCGCTCCTTGCGGCGCCAATCAAGCATTTCTTCAATATTGCGGTTCATGTCTTCATCGCTTGGCTGGTTGGCAAGTTTGCCGTCCGCATAGCGAACGAGCCAGTTCGCGATCATTTCGGCGGACAGGATCGTGCAGAAGCTGGAATTGAACCCGACAAATCCCATGTCCGGCATGTCAGGGTTTACGGCGAGACGATACACACGGTATTGACCATCATGCTCGATCAGCTTGTCCTGGTACTCCTGAGCCAGGTAGGGCACGCCAAGTTTCCACCCAACCGCTAGAATAGAGAGGTCGCAGGGCACTTTTTCACCGTTCGTCAGAACAATTTGATCCTCCTCATATCGCTCGAATGATCCCCTGACCGGTTTGATCGAACCGTCCTTGAAGCCTTCGAACAGGCCCGGGGTCACGATGGGGAGCGAGCAGGATGCATCCTTTTCAATCGGTGTGTCGGGCACCATGTCCCATTTTTTCAAGCCGAGCTGCAACTTGAGAAGGGTCTCAAGGCCGCGGAAGTTGGCCCAGATCAGCGGCTTGAACGCGGTAAAGAGAGCCTTGCCCAGGGGGGATGGACTCCACCCGTTGAACTGCTGCTCCTGCGCCCGCATGTACAAAAGGCGCTTGAAATTGATACCGCCGACGAAATACGGCACGCGCCACACGGGTTCCCGATAGACGAGTGTTACGGATTTCGCGCCGTTTGCTGCCGCGTTGACGGCAATATCGGTTGCGGACTTGGAACCTCCCAATACGACGACATTTTTCCCTGTCACCGTGGTCGGATCGGTGTATTCCGAGCTGTGGATGACATCACGACCCGTGGCCTGAAACGCGTCCTGGCCCGGATGGGTGATTATGTTCTTGTCAGAGAACTGTCCGGTGCAGACCGCGACAAAATCAAAGTCCTGCGTCCAGGTTTTGCCGGCCGCTTCCAACGTAAGCGTCCAGCCGGGCAGGCCGTCGTTTCTGCGATCCATGGATTGAACGTTCGTGTTCAGCTGAAACAGCCTGGCCAGTTTGTGTTTGTCCGCATAGGCATGAAGATAGGCATGGACCTGTGGCCCCTTCGGCCATTCGGGATATTCGTCCGGCATGGCAAGATCTGTGTATCTGTAAAGATCTTTCGGGGACTGGGTCTGGACGCCCGGATAGGAACGGGACAGTTCCCAGACACCGCCAAAATCGTGGCTTCGCTCAAAACCGAACACCCGATGGCCGCGTTCATCGAAGGCCTTGGCCGCGGCAAGGCCACTCACGCCGCCGCCGATGACAGCGACGTTCTTTCGTTTCGTCATTTTGATCTCCTCGCTGAATTTTCGCGCAGGTCAGGCCTGGTCCGGCGGTGGGAGGAAGTCGACTTCGTGCAGGGCCGACAGTCTGACCAGTTCCTGCGGATCGGTAACGCCATTCAGCGCGCCGAACAGGTCGAAGAGCTTGCGTGTCGGTGCGACTCCGAAGATGCAGGTCGCGGTTTTGCCGGACCGATTGTAAATACCATGGGCTTCACCCATCGGCATTCTTACAGTGTCTCCGGCCTTTGCCACGTGGGTCTCGCCGCCCATCTCGACCTGCAATTCACCCTCAAGCATGACGATCCATTCATCCTGTGTCGAGTGGATGTGCGGTGGGACGAATGTTTCTGCCGGAACAACAGCGTGCCAGATGAACGCATTGGTACTGTGCAATTTTGGTGTGTAGGTATGCCCGACGACATTCCAGCTTATGTCGCCCAGGCTTCCGTCAGCGGATGTGATGCCAGCTCCGTTTTGCATTTTGTTCCCCTCCATTGTGCAGTGTGTTGGCGGAAAAAATGCTAAACTGACTTCTCGGAATTGTTTTATCCAGATTGCGAAAAAAACTGACCGGATGCAGTAAATTGCCGCATTGTCGGATCCGAATGCTTGAATGAATTTCCTGCTCACGGCATGATTTGTCATGTCCCAGGCCGCGCATAGACCGCCACTGAGTAACTACCGGTGTTTTGAAACGTTTGACGTTGACGAAGCCCGGGAAATCGTTGCGCGCAATTTTTGCAGCCACAGGCTTGATCGAATGTCCTCGGGGGATCGGTTCGATGCCTGCCAGAACAGGGTCGATGGCGAAAGACTCTCGCTGAACTACATTCGCTACGGTGCCGATGTGACCATCGATCCGGGTGAACTTTCGGAGTTCTATCTGATACAGATTCCGATCGCAGGCACGGCGCAAGTCAGGAACGGAATCCGATCCGTTTACTCAACACGTTCCGTCGGGGTTGTTTTGAACCCGGACCGACATACCACGATGCGTTGGCACGAAGGCTGTGAACAGGTTCTGGTCCAGATCGAAAAATCCTACATGCGGGATATCGCCGTCAGGATGACGGGTGTGGACGTGAACTCGATCCGTTTCTCGCCAGGGTTGGATTTGAACCATGAATCCATCGCCTCATGGGCATGGCGCCTGCGCGCTTTGTTCGGGGCGGCGGAGGCCGGACAGGCTTTTCAGGGGTCTGACCTTCAGCAGCAAAGTCAGCTGGAAGAGGCTTTGGTGATGTCGTTGCTGGAGGTGCAGCCCAGCACTGTTTCGCACTTTCTCGGAGAACGGCGCAGCGGCGCCTCGCCGGCGATCCTGAAACGGGCGTTGTCGCTAATCAACGAGCAATTCGGGCAAGACATCAGTCTTCTGGATATCAGCGCTTTCGCCGGAACAACGCCCCGCAATCTGCAGATCCTCTTCAAGCGGGAGTTGGGATGTACGCCAATGGAAAAACTGCGGGACGTTCGGTTGAATTTTGCGCGACACCTGCTGGTATCAAGCGGCAAACATCAATCCGTCGCGGACATTGCCGAAAAGTCCGGGCACCGCCACGCGGGGCGGTTCTCACTGGCATACAAAACGTGTTTCGGCGAATCTCCAAAGGAAACTCAACGCCGCCGCCCGTTCGGATAGTTCAAGCCTTTCCGTACCTGGGTCATGTATTGCTTCATGACAACTTTTCTCTGAATTTACGGAAGATTTCGTTCGGTCGCGTGTTTTATGTATTATGCAAAATTTCGTGAGACTAAATATGATAAAATTGTGTCTTCGAGGTCATTTTAAAACCTTTAACATTTAATGTTTTGTCCATGTTGTTGTCTTTGTTCCTTCCTAATCTTGATTCGTTGTATTCAATACAGGTGGGATCGAAATGGAAGGGACGTTCGAGGACTTTTTGGCCGCGTTGTTGGCGTTTGAGTCGGGTTGGGACAGGGACCGCTACAGCGCGGGCGTCATTCAGGACTGGCAGCTCGACCAATGGGCGGGTGGTGCGGTTGAAACCCATTTTCCGCAATATACGAGCTGGTCGCAGTTGACCGACACGGAATGGGAAACCATGGCGTACCGGTCCATGAATTCGCTCGGGTTTGTCGGTTTTCAGTTCGGCGAAGCGCTGCTCATAGATCTCGGCTATTATGACGATGACGTCTTCTACGGAAACGGGGCAGCTTCCAATACTTGGGACGGGAACTGGACTGGCAAGAATGGCGTGAATTCCCTGGAAGAATTCATGACCAGGGACGCACAGAACGTCGCGATCCAGGAGGCTTTCGGCTACAATCTTCAGGTTCTGGAAACGCAGTTGGCCGGGAGCGGACAGTCGCTGAGCGATTTCATCGGCCAGACGGCGAGCTACACCCAGAACGGCCAAACCGTCACAGTCGACCTTACGTTGACCGGTATTCTCGCCGCAGCTCATCTGCGCGGTGCATGGGGGACCGCGACGCTTCTGCAAGGCGGGGCCGTCAGCACAGACGAATACGGTACATCGATCCTGCAATACATAGATCAGTTCGGCGGCTTCGAGGCCCCTTCGATCGGGCAGATGATCGCCTTTTACGAAGATCGCCTGACCGGCGACGAAGGTCTCGGCACACCGGGCGAGACGCCCGGAACCGGCACGCCGGGCCAGCCGGACAGTGACGGCGGCAACGGCGGCGCCGGCGTCACCGAAAGCGATGCGGATGTCGTGATTACCTGGTCCTGGGGGCAGAACGAGGTTGTCACCGGTTTCGACCCGTCATCGGGTACAATCTTTATCGACTGGATCGGCGCCGATGACCTCGAGGTTTCCGAGACAGTTGAGGGTGTCGTGTTTGCAATCCCGTCCAACAACCAGACAACAACCCTCTCGGGCGTCCGGCTGAGTGAGCTGAGCGGGGAAAACTTCACGATCCTTGATACAACCACCGCCGCAGAAGTTCTGGGACTTGTTGGCAACGGATCAGGGATCCCTGATACACCGGATGAGCCTGACACACCTGTCGAGCCGGACACGCCAAACGAACCGGAAACACCTGACGAGCCGGATGCTCCCGATATGCCTGCTCCGCCGGTGACGCCGGACAGCTGGAACGGTACGGCCGGTGTCACGGCGGCCACGGCGACGCTGGCAATCACATGGTCCTGGGGAACAAACAGGAGTGTTGCCGACTTTGATCCGCAAAACGACACGATCTTTATCGACTGGTTTGGACCGGATGCGATCAATGTCGACGAAGTGGGCGGGAATGTTGTCTTCACAATGGCGTCGAACAATCAGACGCTGACACTCGAAGGCCTCGCTCTTAGTGATCTTTCACCGTCGAATTTCACCATCATGAGTGAAGCAACAGGCAGGGAGCTTCTGTCTCTGGTCGGCAGCGATCCCGTTGCTCCAGGCGATCCTGTTGACCCGGGCACGCCTGACGGACCGCAAATGATCATGATCCAAACGGACAGCCCATCGCGGGTGATCGACAACTTCAATCCGGCAACCGACATGCTTCATCTGGAAGCGGGTGTGATAGCCGAGCGGCTCGAGTTCGCCGGATATCCGACGACGATTGCCGATGTTTCCGCTGGACTGACCGTGCGTGTGCTGACACCGACGGGTGAGATTGCCAGCGAAACGGTTCTGGTCGGTGTTGATGCTTCCGATCTCACCTTGAACAATTTCATGGTCGCCGAGGAATCAGCGTTGAACGAAGTTGCGACGCTTCTGGGACAGTCCGTCGTTACACCTGACACAGGAGGCTTTGACGTCGTATATGACGCCGATGGTTCCAATCCTCCTGTTCCGTCCGGTACTAGCGATTTGGGTGGGGTCAAATGGCCTGCCGACTTCGGGGCAGATGACATAATAGGGTTCAACCCGGCCTCGGACGAGATCGATTTCGGTAATGCTTCCGTGCATGGACTTGTTCTGAACATGACGGCGAACGGCGAGCCGGTTATCGACAATCCATGGGGACCCGACATGCAGATCCTTCAGGGCGTCCAATTGTCGGAATTGTCTATCGAGAACTTCGGTGTCGTCGGGAACGAGCATCTGCGTCAGGACGTAGGAGGTATCTTGTCTTGGGAGGGCAATATCGGACCACGGGATGCGGATACCGTCTATATCCGCTCACATGAATACGGTGCTTCGGAAGTGATCGAAGGTTTCGATCCGGCAACACAGAAAATCAGCTTCCTCTATTTTGGAACCCGCGAACGCCTTAGCGTCGAGGATACGCCTGAAGGAATGGTGATCAGTTCATTGCCGAGCGGTCAAAGCTTTGTTTTCCCGGCAGTTTCGAAGGGGGAACTCATTGCGGGAAATGTCGAGTTCCACCACGATCAGGTGATGGAAGACAACCTTGAAGCGCCGTTCGGCTTCGACCAGAACGATGTTACTCTTGTTTCGCGCACCGCTCTTCTGACCCCTGATGCTCCTCCTGGTGAAACGACGGACGGTCACCAGATCCGAGACGGTGTCGGCGCAGTTCCGGATCAACCCGATGCTCCGGATGATCCTGAAACACCGGATACACCGGAAACGCCTGTTGTGACCCCGGTAACTGACAGTGACATTGTGCTCGGGGAGGGTTCTGATACGGTGCTCGTGACCTGGGAATGGGGTCGGAAATTCGCTGTAAAGGCCTTCAATCCCGCGGAGGATTCATTAAATTTTACCGGCCTGCCGGCTTCTGATGTCCGGATCGAGGAAGTCGGCGCCGACCTGAAGATCACTGTCGAAAACAATGGCGGTCATAGCTTGTTGCTTGAAGGTCTGCAGGCTGAGGACCTCTCGATTGTCAACCTGGCAGCGGCCGACTGGAACCAGGTTGTCACGGATACGGGTGGCGTCTTGGATCAACTTGAAGCGCTCGGCAACAACGATGTGCTTGCCTGATAACAGAAACGGCTTCTCTGGAGCACAGCGCCGCGCATCTGCGCGGCGTTTTTTGTTCTCCACAGGTCATTCAAAAGCATGGTCTGCTGGGCAGTTCTTGCCGGGTTGCGCGTGACGGGACATCAAAACCTCCGTAATCCTGCGAATCCGATTCTCGCTTTCTGTCAAGGCTTCATTAAGCATGTTTCGACTAACCTCATCCGATGAGGGCGTGTGCGATCAAATCGAGCCAAAATCCAAGAGATTCCATTGACCGCCCATGTTTTCCCATGGTATCCCATAAGGACCCAGAAAGGGGAGGGCGGGCCCATTTCAGCAGGGCCTGGGACATCAAATTTACGGCTCGGCAAGAGCCGGTTTTGCAAAATGCATGTCCTTAGGCCGCACGCTGGCCGTTTCTTCTCAGAGGTGATTAGGGAATTTGACGGTTAGGAACCCGTCTGAAGGGGATTTATGTCCGGTTTTGTTTCTCACTTTACCAACCGGCTGGATGCCAAGGGTCGCGTGTCGATCCCGGCACCCTTCCGCGCGGTGCTGGCGAGAGACGGATTTGAAGGCCTTTATTGCATCACTTCTGCCCATTGCGACGCGGTCGATGCCGGCGGCAACGAACTTCTCGCCGAGATCAACAAGCGTTCGGAGGCATTCGCGAAGCTCTCGCCGGATCATGACGCACTTGCAGTCGCGCTTTTCGGGGCAAGCGAAAATCCCAAGATAGACGGAGATGGACGCATGACCATTTCCGACATGATCCGTGACCACGCGGGTATCACCGACCAGGTCACCTTCGTCGGCATGAACTACAAGTTTCAGATCTGGGAGCCGGCAAAGTTCCGCGAGTACCGTGCAGAGGCCCAAAGGCGCGCGCTCGCGATGCTGTCGGGGCAGGCCCCCGTACCTTCACAAGGAGAGCCGGCATGATGGCGCTCGGCGACAGAAATGCTGCATCTGCCGCTGGCGGACTCGAGCGCCATGTACCGGTTCTCCTGAGTGAAGTCCTCAAGTCGCTTGATCCGCGGCCGGGCGAAGTGATCGTCGACGGAACGTTCGGAGCGGGTGGTTACTCGCGTGCGATGCTGGCACGTGGAGCCAGTGTTATCGGGATCGACCGGGATCCAGACGCTATTTCTGCCGGACAGGCTCTGGTCAGTGAAGCAGAGGGCGGCCTGATGCTGGTTTCCGGACAGTTCGCCGATCTGGATGAACTCGCCCGCTCTCAGGGACACGACACGGTTGACGGCGTTGTTCTCGATCTTGGTGTTTCGTCCATGCAGCTTGATGAAGCCGAACGTGGATTTTCATTCCTGCGTGACGGTCCTCTCGACATGCGCATGGAACAGGCCGGTCCGTCCGCAGCCGATGTCGTCAATGAACTCCCGGTCAGGGACCTGATCCGTGTCGTCGGACTGCTCGGTGAGGAAAAACGGGCGACTTCGGTTGCTCACGCAATTGATACGGCGCGCAAGGAAAAGCCATTCTCCCGCACGTTGGAGCTTGCCGATCTGATCGAGAAAGTGCTCGGCCGCTCACCCAAGAAGGCGCAGATCCATCCTGCGACCCGCACGTTTCAGGCGTTGCGGATCTATGTGAACGGCGAACTTCATCAGGCCGCGACGGCTTTGGGCGCTGCCGAGCGTCTCCTGAAGCCGGGTGGCCGTCTCGTTCTGGTGAGTTTTCATTCCCTGGAGGATCGCATCGTGAAGCGTTTCTTTCAGGACCGGACCCGGACGCGAGGCGGTGGGTCCAGACATATGCCGGAAGAGGAAGTTCCTCCGGCAACATTCGAGCTCATGACCCGCAAGGCGGTTGAGGCTACGAGCCACGAGAGGGATGAAAACCCGCGTGCGCGCTCGGCAAAGCTCAGGGCAGGGCGACGCACGGACGCGCCGGCGCGTGAATTGGATATCCATGCTGCGGGCGTGCCGCGTCTTGCAGATTTTCATGGTCTAGGGGGCTGAAGATGGTTCGGACGCTGAACATTTTGTTCATTCTGGCAGTCGTGATCGGCGCGGCAACCGTTTACGACATGAAGCTGGCGGCGACCAAGTCAGCCGAGAAAGTCGCCGAGCTGCAGCGTCAGATCAACGAAGAGCGCAACGCGATCCGGCACCTCAAGGCGGAATGGAGCCTGCTGAACAAGCCGGACCGCCTGCAGGGCCTCGTGGAGCGCTACAACGACTATCTCCAACTTGAGGCTCTTGATGTGAAGCAGATCGTGGCTCCGGCCGATCTTCCCGCGCGCCCAGTCATGCTTGAGCCCATTGGTGGCTCCAATCAGATGGGCGGCTATGCCGGCTCATCTGCTGCGATCCAGTGAGGGCTGACGGATGACGATAGTAAGCGAACCGGCAAGCTTCCTGCAGATCAAACGCTCAAACCCACGGGTCGTACGCGGATCGGTCTCGTCGAGTGCGGTGAAATCGCGGGTCTACGTGGCGATGCTGGCATTTGCCTGTGTCTATGCCGCAATCGCCGGCCGGCTTGTCCTTCTGGCCCAGATGGAGGAAGCGCCTTCACGAGCCTGGATTTCCGCGCAAGATTCCGTGTCCGCGTCCCGTCCGGATCTGATCGACCGGAATGGTGAAATCCTGGCAACGGATATCAAGACCGCTTCTCTGTATGCTGAACCGCGCCGCATTCTGGATGTCGACGAAGCTGTCGAGGGATTGATCCGTGTCTTGCCGGAACTGGATGAAGGATTGGTACGCCGCCGTCTCGAAAGCGGCGCCGGTTTCGTCTGGCTGAAACGAGAAATGACGCCCCACAAGGCCGAAGAGGTGCACAATCTCGGCCTTCCGGGCATCGGCTTCCTTTCCGAGAACCAGCGCTTTTATCCGGGTGGGCCAACGGCCGGGCACATCGTCGGGTCCGTGAATGTCGACAATCAGGGCCTTGCCGGGATCGAAAAATACATCGATGACGAGTGGCTCGCCGATCTGCAGTCGCTCGGGTTCGCCTCCAACAGAACCATGGAACCTGTAAGACTGTCTGTCGATCTTCGAGTTCAGCATGTTGTTCGCGACGAACTGGTCAAGGCGATGGACCGCTACAAGGCGATTGCTGCCGCGGGAATTGTTCTGGATGCCAAGTCCGGCGAAGTGGTCGCCATGTCTTCATTGCCTGACTATGATCCGAATGACAGGTCGCAGGCGCTCCAGAAAGACAGGTTGAACCGTGCGACCGGCGGTGTCTTCGAAATGGGATCGGTTTTCAAGACCTTTACGACTGCCATGGCGCTTGATTCCGGTGCGGTTTCCATCAATGACAGCTTCGATGCGACACGTCCGATCAGGGCTGCCGGTCGGACGATCACGGATTTCCACGGGAAAAACCGCATCCTTTCAGTGCCGGAAATTTTCATCTATTCGTCCAATATCGGCACCGCCAAGATGATGCTTGCGACCGGAGTTGCGCGTCAGAAGGAGTTCCTGGGACGACTGCATCTGACCAGCCGGCTGAAGACCGAACTGCCCGAAAACGCTGCTCCGCTACTTCCGCCGAAGTGGAATGAACTTGCCGCAATGACGATTTCCTTCGGGCACGGACTGTCTGTCACTCCCATGCAGACGGCTGTTGCCGCCGCAGCCGTGGTCAACGGTGGCACCCTGCTGCCGCCAACTTTCCAGCCGAGAAGCGAGGAGGAGGCCCAAGCTCTTGGAAAACAAGTTCTTTCTGCGGATGTCAGCCGCATGATGCGCTATCTGCTCCGCCTCAATGTCCTTTCCGGATCCGGGCGCCGTGCCGACGTTCCCGGCTATACGGTTGGCGGAAAGACCGGCACGGCAGAGAAAATTGAAAACGGCCGTTATGTCAGAAACAAGCGAAGGAATTCATTCCTGTCCGCTTTTCCGATGGATGACCCGAGATACGTGGTTCTGATTGTTATCGACGAACCGAAACCGGAACGCGCAGGGATCGGAGCGACGGCGGGGCTGAACGCGGCACCGACTGTCGCCGCGGTCGTCCGCAGGGCAGCTCCGATGCTGGGTGTGATGCCGCGTTTCGGCAAGGGGGATGAACCGATTGAGATTTCCTATTAAGGAGACAAGGGAGAAGTCGTGATTTCCGGCGGGGTCGCAGCCGTAATCCGGATCCAGGGCTTCTGAATGACGACGCACAAACCGAACGATCAGGTGAGATGGAGCTTGAATATTTGGCCGAGGGCACAAGTTTGCCAGACTCGGCGAGTGGTCTGAAAATTTCCGGACTTACGGCGGATAGCCGGAACGTCGAGCCGGGTTTCCTGTTTGCCGCCCTCAAGGGTGCCAGGACAGACGGGAGCCTGTTCGCGCCGGGTGCCGTCGAGGCCGGGGCTGTTGCGTTGTTGTGCGCTAAGGATGCGGAGCAACAGCTGCGTGCGGCCATCCCCGAGAATGTTGCCGTTATTGCGGCTGAAGAACCGCGGCAAGTGTTTGCGAAAATGGCTGCGAGGTTTTTCGGTGCCCAGCCTGATATTGTCGTTGCCGTTACCGGAACAGCCGGCAAGACTTCCGTTGCGCATTTCGTACGTCAGATATTCCAGTCTGCGGGTCATCCGGCCGCAAGCCTCGGGACGCTGGGTACGATCAAACCTGATGGTATCAGTTATGGCGGGTTGACGACCCCGGATCCGGTGGCGCTTCACAGGGAGCTTGCCGAACTGGAAGCCGAAGGCATCAACCACGCGGCCCTGGAAGCGTCGTCCCACGGACTTGATCAATTTCGCCTGGATGGAGTGCGGTTGACTGCGGCAGCTTTCACAAATCTGGGCCGCGACCATATGGACTATCACGCGACCATCGAGGACTACCTTTGCGCCAAACTCCGTCTGTTTGAGGATTTGTTGCCGGATGGTGGAACAGTTGTCGTGGATCCCGCTGAAAAATATGCAGACCGGGTCCTGGACGTTGCCGGCCGGCGCGGACTGCCGGCTTTCACGGTCGGTGAAACAGGCCGAGACCTGAAACTGACAGGAATACGTGCGGTCGGAGCCGGACAGGAACTGACGCTGCAGACAGCGCGTGGCGAATACAAGATCACGCTACCGCTGATCGGGCGCTTTCAGGTGTCCAATGCCTTGATTGCAGCCGGATTGGCGATTGCGGCTGGAACCGACAGCGGCTTGGTCCTGCGGTCTCTGGAAAATCTGAAAGGTGCACCGGGTCGACTGGAACTTGCAGGCAGGACGGCTTCCGGCGGACTGGTCTTTGTCGACTATGCGCATAAGCCGGACGCGCTTGACAATGCACTTGCTGCGCTGAAGCCGTTTGCGACCGGAAAATTGTCCGTTGTCGTGGGCGCGGGTGGTGACCGGGATCCGGGCAAACGCGAGCTCATGGGCGCTGCTGCCTCCCGAAACGCGGATCTGGTCATTGTGACTGACGACAATCCACGCTCAGAAGATCCGGCGGTCATCCGCAAAGCCGTCATGTCAGGCGCTCCGCAAGCAATTGAGATCGGCGACCGATTTGACGCTATTGCCGAAGGAATTCATCGGCTCAATGCGGGCGATATCCTGTGCGTTGCAGGAAAAGGTCACGAAACCGGCCAGATTGTTGGCGACACAGTGATTCCCTTTTCCGACCACGAAGCTGTGCAGCGTGCCATCAGCCTTGAAGGAGACACATGAGCGACCCTCTTTGGAAACTGGACTCCTTTGTCGAAGCTGCCGGTGGCAGCCTCAAGGGGGACGTTGGCGAGGAAATCATGGGCGTCTCAATCGACAGCCGGTCGCTTGAGCCGGGAGACGCATTTATCGCCATCAGGGGAGACCGCCTCGATGGGCACGATTATGTCGCGGCCGCTCTGGAAGCTGGAGCGGCACTTGCAGTTGTTGCTGAAAGCCGGATGTCCGACCTGCCGGAAGACGGCCGTTATCTTGTTGTTCCCGATCCGCTGGCGGCGATGCGTCTTCTCGGCATTGCGGCTCGTGAACGTTCACATGCCAAGATTATCGCCGTAACCGGCTCCGTGGGGAAAACCGGAACCAAGGAAGCACTCAGGCTGACGCTCGAGCAATCCGGAAAAGTGCATGCATCCGTTGCGTCGTTCAACAACCATTGGGGTGTGCCGCTGACACTTGCCCGCATGCCTGCAGATACCGAATTCGGCGTCTTTGAGATCGGTATGAACCATGCCGGTGAAATAACGCCGCTGGTCAGGATGGTTCGGCCGCATGTGGTGATCATTACGACCGTGCAGGCGGTGCATCTGGAGTTCTTCGAGTCTGTGGAGAAAATCGCGCAGGCGAAGGCGGAGATATTTGACGGATTGGAACCGGGCGGAATTGCCATCCTGAACAAGGACAATCGGCAATACGATCTCCTGAGATTCCTGGCGGCCGCGGCGGGCGTCTCTCATGTCCAGACCTTCGGTGAAGACCCCGGCGCTGACAGCCATACCGAGAACGTCGTGGGTTATGCGAGTGGATCCAGTGTTGACGCCTCGATTGCCGGGACTGAAATCACCTACAAGATCGGCGCTCCCGGCAGGCATCACATCAAGAACAGCCTGGCGGTTCTGACAGCGGTCCAGGATGTCGGTGCGGACCTTGCGAAAGCGGGTCTTGCGCTGGATGCAATGCGCGCCCCGCGAGGACGCGGCGAAGTCAGCCATCTGAAGATAGATACCGGTGAAATCACGCTGATCGACGAGAGCTACAACGCCAATCCTGCCTCGATGCGCGCAGCGCTCGCGGTGCTGGGTGAGACGCCTGTTTCCCGCCCGGGACGCCGGATTGCCGTTCTTGGGGATATGCGCGAGCTTGGCGTTGATGCCGATCGTTTGCATGCAGGCCTGCTGGGACCCGTTACCGACGCCGGGATCGACGGTGTCTATTGCGCGGGCCCGCATATGCATACGCTCTGGGCACAGCTCCCGCATGAATTGCGTTCGCACTATGCCGAAGATGCAAAAGGTCTGGAAGACGCCATTTTGAGTGACGCGCGACCCGGCGATGTCGTTATGATCAAGGGATCGCTCGGAACTCGCATGGGACCGCTTGTCGAAGCCCTGAAGAAGGAATACCCGCCCGCGGATGACACCGCGGCGGCATAAAGGATAGCTGATGTTTTATTTTTTGGGGCAGTTCGCTGATCAGATTTCCGCGCTGAACGTGTTCAGATACATCACGTTCCGGACCGGTGGCGCCATCATGACGGCGCTCTTTTTTGTTTTTCTGTTCGGTCCGAAGATCATTTCAAGCCTGAGGATCCGACAGGGGCACGGTCAGCCGATCAGGGCCGACGGACCGGAAAGCCACCTTCTGAACAAGAAAGGCACCCCGACCATGGGGGGGCTGATGATCCTTTCCGGAGCGTTGGTTGCAGCGCTTTTGTGGTCGGACCTGTCCAATCCCTATGTGTGGGTCGTCATAGGTGTGACCCTCGGTTTTGGCGGCATCGGTTTTTACGACGATTATCTGAAGGTTTCGAAATCGTCGCACAAGGGTTTCGGCGGCAAGGCGCGTCTGGGCCTTGAATTCCTGATCGCTGCTGTGGCCGCTTTCGTTGTGACTGTCCTGGATACGTCCGAGTTTTCAGAAGCGATCACGTTTCCGTTTCTGAAGGATTTCACGTTGAACCTCGGACTGGTTTTCATTCCGTTTGCGGCTTTTGTAATGGTGGGTGCAGGCAATGCTGTAAACCTGACCGACGGGCTTGATGGCCTCGCGATCGTCCCGGTGATGATCGCCTGTGCATCCTTCGGTCTGATTGCCTACCTGTCCGGCAATGCTGTTTTTGCGAGTTACCTTCAGATCCATCATGTCTCGGGAACCGGAGAGCTTGCCGTCATTTGCGGTGCTGTGATCGGGGCAGGTCTCGGGTTTCTGTGGTTCAATGCACCGCCGGCCGCCATCTTCATGGGTGATACCGGGTCCCTGGCACTTGGTGGCATGATCGGCGCTATCGCGGTCGCCACGAAACATGAAATCGTTCTCGCGATCATCGGTGGCCTTTTTGTTCTGGAGGCGGTGTCGGTCATCGTGCAGGTGATTTCGTTCAAGCTGACCGGCAAACGGGTCTTCCGGATGGCGCCGATCCATCACCATTTTGAAATCATGGGGTGGACGGAAAGCCAGGTCGTGATCCGGTTCTGGATAATCGCGGTTGTTCTCGCCCTGGTCGGGCTTGCCACACTCAAGCTGAGGTAGTCCGAATGATACCCATCACCACATTTGAAGGCAGGAAAGTCGCATTGTTCGGGCTCGGGGGCTCCGGACTGGCGACTGCCCGTGCCTTGAAAGCGGGTGGTGCGGATGTGGTGTGTTACGACGACAATGATGCGCGCGTGCAGCAGGCAGCCTCCGAGGGGCTGACAACGCTGGATCTTCGCAATCTGGACTGGGATGGCGTTGAGGCGCTCGTGCTTGCTCCCGGTGTCCCGCTGACGAATCCGATTCCCCACTGGACCGTGGATCTTGCCCGCGATGCCGCTGTTGAGATTGTCGGCGATGTCGAATTGTTCTGCCGCGAGCGGCGCAAGCAATGTGCAACTGCGCCGCTGATCGCAATTACCGGCACCAACGGCAAGTCGACGACGACCGCACTTGTGGCGCATCTGTTGAAGGAGCTCGGGCTGGATGTTCAGGTCGGTGGCAACATCGGCACACCCGTGCTCGATCTGGAACCGCTGCAGCCGGGGCGCCACTACGTCGTCGAGTGCTCCTCCTACCAGATCGACCTGGCACCAACGCTCGACCCGAGCGTCGGGATCCACATGAACCTGTCACCCGATCACCTTGACCGGCACGGCACGATGGAAAATTACGCAGCAATCAAGGAACGGCTTGTTGCAGGATCCAGGGTGGCTGTCGTCGGTGTCGATGACGGGCTGTCGTCTGCGATCGCCGATCGACTTGAACTGGCGCACAAGCCCGTTTGCAGGATCGCCGGAGAACGGGAGTTGACCAGCGGGATCTATGCCCGTTTTGGCAGGCTTTACGAAGCGCACAACGGCAGTCAGTCGGAAGTCGCTTTGCTGGGTGGCATCGACAGTCTGCGCGGTGATCACAATGGTCAAAATGCAGCCGCTGCCTTTGCGACGCTCAGGGCACTGGAACTGCCGGCTGACAGGATTGCTGCGGCCATGAAGACATTCCCCGGCCTTCATCACCGCATGGAAATCGTTGCAAAACGTGGACGGATCCTGTTCGTCAACGATTCGAAAGCGACAAATGCGGAGGCCGCCGGCCGCGCGCTTTCCAGTTTCGACAGGATTTACTGGATCGCCGGCGGCCGCGCCAAAGCGGGTGGGATTGCGGTGCTCGACGAGTATTTCCCGAAGATCGCAAAGACCTTTTTGATCGGAGAAGCAGCGGAAGCGTTCTCAAAGACGCTGGAGGGCCGCGTCCCGTTCAAGATCAGCGGCACGCTGCCCGAGGCGGTGATCGATGCCGCCGGGGAGGCTGCAGAAGATGGCGCGGATGAAATTGCGATCCTGCTTTCACCGGCCTGTGCGAGCTTCGATCAATATCCGAATTTTGAACTGCGGGGCGCTGCTTTTGTAGATGCGGTGCGTGCCTTGCCTGATGCTGGTAACACTCAGGAGGTGGCGTAATGGTATCTCGGGCGGATCGCAGCCGGTTTGCCGAATGGCTCTGGACCGTGGATCACTATCTGCTCGCCGCTTTCGGTCTTCTGATGGTCGGTGGCGTGGTGCTTTCCTTTGCCGCCAGTCCTCCGGTTGCCGAACGGCTTGGTCTTGAAACGTTGTTCTTCGTGAAACGCCAGGCACTGTTTCTTATTCCCGCCGTTGCAGTCATGTTGGCAGGCTCGCTGATGCCACCGCGCCTGGTCCGGCGCGCGGCGTTGATCCTCTTTGTGGTTTCGCTCGTCCTGCTGGTCGCGACGCTGTTTCTCGGATTTGAAGCCAAGGGTGCCAGGCGCTGGATTTACATTGCCGGATTTTCGTTGCAGCCGTCGGAATTCCTGAAACCCGCCTTCGTGGTACTGATCGCGTTTTTGCTTTCAGAAAGCGGCCGCCGCCGTGAAGTTCCAGGCGTCCTGTTTGCATTCGTGCTTTTCGCCGTCTGCGCAGCTTTGCTGATTGCCCAGCCTGATTTCGGACAGACAATGCTGCTTGGTCTCGTCTGGGCAGGGCTTTTCTTCCTGAACGGCATTTCGTGGCTGATCATCGTTGCGCTTGGGCTGATCGGCATTTTAGGTCTTTTGGCGGCCTACGCTTTCCTGCCGCACGTGACCAATCGAGTGGACAGGTTTCTTGATCCCAGTTCGGGCGACACCTTCCAGGTCGATACCGCAATGGATTCCTTTCTTGCAGGTGGCTGGTTCGGTCGCGGACCGGGAGAAGGCACCGTCAAACGAATCTTGCCGGACAGCCATACCGATTTCATCTTTGCGGTTGTCGGCGAGGAATTCGGAGTTGTCATCTGCCTGGTGCTTGTTTCAATCTTTGCCTTCATTGTGCTTCGCGGGCTCAACCATGCAGGCCGGGACCAGGATGCATTCAGCCGCCTGGCGACGGCAGGACTTGTGGTTCTGTTCGGCTTGCAGGCGACAATCAATCTTGCCGTAAATCTGCATCTCATGCCTTCGAAAGGCATGACTTTGCCGTTCATTTCCTATGGTGGGTCATCATTGTTGTCTTCCGCAATAACCGCCGGTGCCATCCTTGCCCTGACACGCAGAAAACCCCAGCCTTCCAGGGCGGAAACGGTAACGGTGAGCCGGCTTTCACCCTCTTCTTTGATGTAAGGCAGCGTTGCCGGATAGCATGAGCAAAACAGTATTATTGACAGCCGGCGGAACGGGCGGCCACTTGTTTCCCGCACAAGCGCTTGCATCCGAGCTTGATAGGCGCGGCTGGATTGTCGAGCTTGCGACTGACGAACGGGCGGACAGGTACGGTACCGCCTTTCCCGCCCGCAAGGTTCATATCATCGCATCCGAAACCATCCGGGGGCGCAATCCGATTTCGCTGGCCAGGACCGGTCTGAACCTGTTCCTGGGCACGCTCCAGGCAAGAGCTGTGATAAAATCCTTGAAACCCAGCGTTGTTGCCGGCTTCGGTGGTTATCCGACTTTCCCGCCGATGTACGCCGCACGCCTGACGGGAACACCGTCAATCCTGCATGAGGCCAATGGCGTCATGGGCCGGGCAAACAAGATGCTGGCCAAGGGAGTTACGGCAATTGCGACCAGCATACCGCTGGAAAACCTGCCTTCGGACCTTGCCGCCAAGCAGGTGGAAACCGGTAACCCGGTCCGCGATGCCGTTCTGGAAGCTGCCGGTCAGCCCTATGCAGCGCCAGTTGAAGGTGGAGAATTCAATCTTCTGGTCTTCGGTGGGTCACAGGGCGCACGGTTTTTTTCCGATCTCCTGCCGCCGGCAATGGACCTGATGCCGAATGAGGTTCGAAGCCGCCTGACTGTTGTGCAGCAATGCCGCGCCGAAGACCTGGAACGCGTCAAGTCGGCCTATGACACGTCGGGAATCAAGGCGGAATGCGCGTCTTTTTTCAAAGATATGCCGAGCCGGATTGCTCAGTCTCATCTCGTTATCTGCCGTTCCGGAGCTTCGTCAGTAAGCGAACTCAGCGTCCTGGGACGTCCATCACTTCTCGTACCCCTTCCTGGAGCGATCGACCAGGATCAGGCTGCAAATGCGAAGGTTCTGGAAGCGGCAGGTGGTGCGTGGCCGATACGTCAGGCAGACCTTGACCCGGCAAGGCTGGCCGACGAAATCACCCGATTGATGAATGCGCCGGACACGCTGGCAAAGGCCGCGGAAAATGCAAACAGCGTTGCCAGGCCGGATGCCGTCAAGCGCCTCGCGGACCTTGTTGAACAGGTCGCAGACAACCAAGGAGAACGGCCATGAAAATGCCGCACGACATCGGACCGGTTCATTTCGTCGGAATCGGCGGAATAGGCATGAGTGGCATCGCAGAAGTGCTGAAAACACTCGGGTACCAGGTCCAGGGATCCGACATGGCCGAAAACGCCAATGTCCAGCGCCTGAGGTCGCACGGAATTTCTGTCGCGGTAGGGCACGCGCCTGAAAACCTCGGCGATGCGGAAGTGTTGGTGGTTTCCTCCGCGATCAGGAAGGACAACCCCGAACTGGTCGCCGCGCGCGAAAAACTGATCCCTGTCGTACGCCGTGCCGAAATGCTGGCTGAACTGATGCGCTTCAAGCAGGCGATTGCGGTCGGCGGCACGCACGGCAAAACGACGACGACATCCATGGTGGCGGCGCTGCTTGATGCGGGAAGTCTTGACCCGACCGTGATCAACGGTGGCATCATCAACGCATATGGCACCAACGCGCGAATGGGGGGCGGAGACTGGATGGTCGTCGAGGCCGATGAAAGCGACGGAACTTTCGTCAAGCTTCCGGCCGATATTGCAATTGTCACCAATATAGATCCGGAGCATCTCGACCACTATGGGGACTTTGACGGTGTAAAGGCTGCTTTCCGGCAATTCGTTGAAAATGTTCCCTTTTACGGATTCGCGGTGATGTGTCTGGATCATCCGGAGGTTCAGACCATGATCGGAACGATCGAGGATCGACGGGTGGTGACATATGGCACCAATCCGCAAGCTGATGTTCGTTTCACCGACGTATCGATGGATGGTGGCAAGTCCAAATTCTCGGTTGCCATCCGGGACCGCCGAACGGACGAGGTGGTTGAACTGAAAGATCTTGTCCTTCCGATGCCAGGTCTTCACAACGTTTCCAATGCGACGGCGGCAATTGCAGTGGCATCGCAACTGGGGGTCGGACCGGAAGACCTGAAAAAAGGTATTTCGGATTTCGGTGGCGTCAAACGCCGTTTTACGCACACGGGAACTGCCAACGGCGTGCAGATCTTCGATGATTACGCTCACCATCCGGTGGAGATCAAGGCGGTTCTTCACGCCGCTCGCGAGTCAACCACGGGCAAGGTCATTGCGGTGATGCAGCCTCACAGGTACACGCGTCTTCACAGCCTTTTCGATGACTTTTCCAACTGTTTCAACGACGCGGATTCGGTCATCATCGCGCCCGTCTACGAAGCCGGTGAGCAACCGATCGAAGGTGCGAGCCACAGGGATCTGGTCTCTGGCATGAAGACCAGGGGACACCGGCAGGTGCAGTCGATTGACGGGCCGGAAGAACTGCCTGCCTTGATAAAGGAACTGGCCGAGCCGGGAGATTTCGTCATTTGTCTGGGGGCCGGCAACATCACGCAATGGGCCTATGCACTCCCGAAACAGCTTGACGGGAAATAGGGCCGAGATTGATGAACTTTCCCGACCTTCTGGAAGCATATCCGGCTCTTGGCGAAGGGCTGCGCGGCAGACTTACGGCGAACCAGCCGTTGTCGGCCGTTACGTGGTTTCGAACAGGCGGGCCAGCGCAATTGTTGTTCCAGCCGGCCGACGAAAAAGATCTTGCCGTGTTTCTCAGGAAACTGCCTGGTGATGTGCCGGTGCTGCCGGTCGGGCTGGGATCGAATCTCCTGATCCGCGACGGCGGCATGGAAGGTGTCGTCATACGACTGAGCGCGAAGGGCTTCGGGGAGATCGAAGATCTGGGCCGGAATCGCCTCAGGGCGGGGGCGGCCGTTCCGGACAAGCGGCTTGCGGAGGCTGCAGCCAGGGCGGGTCTCGGCGGCTTTGCGTTTTACACAGGAATTCCGGGTGGTCTCGGCGGCGCCCTTCGCATGAATGCAGGCGCGCACGGCACCGAAACCCGCGAGCGCATGGTGGAATTGACAGCCCTGGACCGAGAGGGGAACAGGCACGTGCTGTCCAACGCGGATATGGGATATGCCTACAGACACTCCTCGGCGCCCGGGGATCTGATTTTCACATCGGCGACTTTTGAGGGAAATCCGCACGACGAAACGGCAATCAGGCAGGAAATGGCCGACGTTGTCGCACACCGGGAGAAGTCTCAGCCGATCCGGGAAAAGACGGGGGGGTCAACTTTCAAGAATCCTCCAGGAACATCGGCCTGGAAGGAAATTGATGCAGCTGGCTGCCGCGGACTGCAGGTCGGTGGCGCGCAGATGTCCGAAATGCACTGCAACTTCATGATCAACACCGGCGAGGCAACCGGATACGACCTTGAAATGTTGGGCGAAACCGTGCGTGCACGGGTCTTGAAACACAGTGGTATCCGTCTGGAATGGGAAATCAAGCGGCTTGGACGATTCGGAGCCGCTGGAACAGTCGAACCGTTTCTGGGACGGGAAGGGAAAGTCGCGTAAATGACCAAGAAACACGTTGCGGTTCTCATGGGCGGTTGGGTCAATGAACGCCCGGTCAGTCTTAGCAGCGGCAAGGATTGCGCCGATGCGCTCGAAGAAGCCGGTTACAAGGTGACGCGCATTGACGTGAACCGGAATGTCTCCTCGGTCCTTGAGAAGCTGAAACCGGACGTGGCGTTTAACGCGTTGCACGGTCCGTTCGGTGAAGACGGTTGTATCCAGGGAATTTTAGAGTTTCTTAACATTCCCTACACTCACTCAGGTGTGATGGCATCCAGCCTTGCCATGAACAAGGTGAAGGCCAAACCGGTTCTACAGGCTGCCGGGGTCCCGGTGACGGAAGACATCGTCGTGAATCGCCACGACATCCAGCGCGAACATCCCATGAGACCGCCTTACGTGCTCAAACCGATCAATGAGGGGTCGAGCTTCGGTGTCCTGATTGTCAAGCAAGATCAAGAGTTTCCGCCCCAGGAACTTCACAGGTCGGATTGGCCCTACCCGGATGTCCTGATGTGCGAGAAGTTCATCGATGGCCGTGAGCTGACCTGCGCCGTGATGGACGACAGGTCTCTTGGGGTGATCGACATAGTGCCTATGGGTCACAGCTTCTACGATTATGACGCAAAATATGTAGAAGGCGGTTCAAAACACATTCTTCCTGCAAAAATTTCACCGATTGTTTACCAAACCATAGAGACACTAGCAGTTAAGGCGCATCAGGCTTTGGGATGCCGTGGCGTTTCCCGGGCCGATTTCCGATTCGACGAGCGCGAAGACGGAACCGGTGAACTGATTTGCCTTGAAGTGAACACGCAGCCAGGCATGACGCCAACCTCTCTTGTGCCGGAAATGGCGGCTCATAAGGGGATGAGTTTCAAGGATCTGGTCAGTTGGATGGTTGAGGACGCAAGTTGCTGTCGCTAGGTCGCAAATGGAAAAGGGAAGCATTGACACCGCTGGAGGCCGAGCTGGCCCCGCGCGGGCGTGGTGTTTCGCGTTTGCACCGGCAGCCGGTCTGGCGCTCGGCCGGACGCCTTGCCCATCTTCCACGCTGGACGGGGTCTGCGGCAGCCCTTGGTTTCTTAACCTTAACGATTGGTTATGGAATAGTCATAGGCGGCCACGGCCGGATTGTCTCCGATGCGCTGCTGTCGGCAGCTGGCTTCGGCATCGAGGCTGTTAAACTTTCCGGTCAGCGTGAAATCAACGAATTCCAGATCCTTGAGGCACTTGAGATTCACGAAGGCACGTCGCTTGCCCTGTTTGATGCGCCCGGTGCGCGTAAGCGGTTGAACGAGATGGCCTGGGTCAAGAGCGCCTCGGTGATGAAACTTTATCCGAGCACGCTGCAGATCAAGATCGAAGAGCGGATACCATATGCGCTTTGGCAGCGCGGCGACCTGGTTTCAATTGTAAACGAAGCCGGCGACGTGATCACCGACGATGTCGACGGGCGCTACGCCAACCTGCTGCTCGTTGTCAATCATGGTGCACAACGCCGCGCGGCAGAGATCAATGCGGCTCTGGAAAAAGTACCTGAACTGCGTCCACGGGTGCGGGCCGCGTTTCTGGTCAGCAACCGGCGATGGGATCTACAGCTTGAAAATGGAATTTCTGTGCGCCTTCCGGAACAAAACATTAATGCAGCCCTCACGGATCTCGTGGAGATGGATGAGGACAGCGGTTTGTTGTCGAGAGATATCGTTGCCATCGACATGCGACTGGCGGACAGGGTTACCGTGCGCCTGTCCGACGAGGCTGCAGAGCAGCGCAAGATCATGACCGGAGGCCGCAACCGGTCGGGCAAGAAGGAGCAGGACACATGAGCCGCTCCGACAAGAACCTTTATCTGCCCAAGATGCGGCCTTTGCCGAGCAGACGCTCCGTCATCATGTCGGTTCTCGATGTGGGGTCGACCAAGATCTGCTGCCTGATTGCAAAACTGGTGCCGCAGGAAGAAAACTCGATTCTGTCGAGCCGGTCGCACAAGGTTGAAGTCCTCGGCTATGGCTATCAGCGCTCGCGCGGCATCAAGTCCGGCGTCGTCGTCGACATGGACGCAGCCGAGCAGGCGATCCGGATGGCAGTCGACAGTGCGGAGCGCATGGCCGGTGTCACGGTTGAATCGCTGATCGCCAATATCAGCTGCGGACGGCTGCAGAGTGAAATCTACAGCGCCAATGTGCCGCTTGCCGGCGACAGTGTATCGGAAGCGGATATTCAAAGGGTGCTCTCGGCCGGATCGAGCCACTCGGTTACGGACGGGCGGGCTGTCACGCACGCGCTGCCGATATCCTATTCACTGGACGGCAGCCGGGGCATTCGCGATCCGCGCGGCATGATGGGGCACAAGCTCGGTGTCGACATGCAGGTCGTGACCGCTGAAAACCCGCCGGTTCGAAACCTCGAACTGTGCATCAACCGGGGACACCTGCACGTGGAAACGATGGTGGCCACACCATTTGCAAGTGGTCTGTCCACCGTGGTCGACGACGAGGCCGAACTGGGTGTTGCCTGCATCGACATGGGTGGCGGCACCACGACACTGTCGGTCTTTGTTGACGGTCACATGGTTCACCTCGATGCGATTGCAGTCGGCGGCAATCATGTGACAACAGACATTGCCCGTGCTTTTGCAACGCGCCTGCAGGACGCAGAGCGCCTGAAAACACTTTATGGCTCACCGCTGGCATCCAGTTCGGACGAAAGGGACCTGCTGACGGTCCCTCCGCTGGAAAGCGATGGCGATCTGCCAAATCAAATCCCCCGCTCGGCGCTGACCAGGGTCATCCGTCCGCGTGTGGAAGAAATCCTTGAACTCGTAAGAGATCGCCTTACCGCGTCCGGCTTTGCAGGCCGGGTCGGCAAGCAGATCGTGCTGACAGGGGGCGCCAGTCAGCTCACGGGTCTTGGAGAGGTTGCGCGTCACATTTTGGGGCGCAACGTCCGTCTTGGCCGGCCTTTAGGCGTTGCCGGTCTTCCCGAGGCTGCCAAAGGTCCGGCTTTTGCCGCGGCCGTCGGCCTCTTGATTTATCCGCAAGTCGCTCAGATCGAACAGTTCGAACACAAGAATCGTCGATCGGGGTGGGGCGGGCAAACTGGTTATCTGGCCCGTGTGGGTCAGTGGATCAGGGAAAGCTTCTGACGACATGAGCCAAGAAGACGACAGCCAGGAAATCGAGCTGCCAGGTGTGGCAGTTGAAATTAGGGAAGAAGAGGAGTCTCCCGTATCGGGGGAGCCAGTGGGTCGCGAGGATAATATGACCATTAACCTGAAGATGCCCGACATTCAGGAGCTGAAACCGCGCATTACGGTCTTCGGCGTCGGCGGTGCGGGCGGAAATGCCGTCAATAACATGATCACAGCAGGCCTCCAGGGGTGCGACTTTGTTTGCGCCAATACGGATGCCCAGGCACTGGCCATGAACCATTCCGACCGGCTCGTCCAGATGGGCGTAGCTGTTACGGAGGGGCTTGGTGCAGGCTCCCAGCCGGAAGTCGGCTCTGCCGCGGCTGAGGAAGTGATCGACGAGATCAACGATCACCTGTCCGGATCGCACATGGTGTTTATTACCGCCGGTATGGGCGGTGGTACCGGCACTGGTGCAGCCCCGGTCATTGCCCGTGCAGCGCGTGAGCAGGGCATCCTGACGGTTGGTGTTGTCACCAAGCCGTTTCAGTTCGAAGGTGCGCGACGCATGCGCATTGCCGATTCCGGCATCGACGAACTGCAGCGGAATGTTGACACGCTGATTGTCATTCCGAACCAGAATCTGTTCCGGATAGCCAACGCACAGACGACATTTGCCGATGCGTTCGCCATGGCCGACCAGGTGCTTTACTCCGGTGTTGCCTGCATCACCGACCTGATGGTCAAGGAAGGTCTCATCAACCTGGACTTTGCCGATGTTCGTTCTGTCATGCGCAGCATGGGCAAGGCGATGATGGGCACGGGTGAGGCCAGCGGCGAGAAGCGGGCACAGCAGGCTGCCGAAGCGGCGATCGCGAACCCTCTTCTGGACGAATCCTCCATGAAGGGTGCGAAGGGTCTGCTGATCTCCATCACGGGCGGCAACGACCTGACACTGTTCGAGGTGGATGAAGCAGCCACGCGGATCCGCGAAGAAGTGGATTCAGATGCCAACATCATTCTTGGTGCGACCTTTGACGAGACACTTGATGGCATCATCAGGGTTTCCGTCGTGGCAACGGGGATTGACAAGGAGGAAGGTCTCGACGCCGTTCCGTTTCAGTCAGCGGCAGCACAGACCTTGAATTCTCATGCTCCGGCTTTGGCAAGCACACCGGACATCGCAACCGCCAAGGTTGCGACTGCGGCTGCAAAGACCGGTGCCGCGAACGCTGCCGCGCAAGCGGTTGCAAAGCTTGAAAAAGAGCTTGCGATCCCGGAACCGGCAGCCGTTGCGGTCGCCAGCGACCCTGACGTCGAAATCAAGCGGGTCAAGCCGGCGAGCGCTTCCATGGCGGCAAAGTCCCAGATGATTGATCTGGAAGAGGATACACCGGCTCCTGCCCTGGACGAGAAACCTGTCAGTCAGCCGTACATTCCGCCCGTTGCCGAGGAGCACAGCCCGGCACCACGCATGCCGCGCGTTGAGGATTTCCCGCCAATCGCACAGCGTGAAATGCGCGCGCAACAGACCCCTGCAACTCCGTCACAGCAACAGCCTGCTGCTCAGCAGCCAGCGGAACCGGCAACTTCTGCGCCGGTGCATGACGATGTTGAGGAATACGGTGACGAAGACCGCCGGCCAATGGGTCTGCTGCGACGTCTCGCAAGCGGATTGGGTCGCCGGGAGGACGAGGAAGACCAGGAAGTCGAGACAAGCGCACCTGTTGCCCGCAAGGTTCCGCAGATGCAGCCTGCTCCGGTTCCCGTCCCGCGGGCCCCGCAGGCAAGGGCATCTTCAGCTGGCGCGGCAGGCCAACTGGACGAGACAGGCCGTGCTGCGCCCAAGCCGGTCAGTGTCGCAGATGACGATCAATTGGAAATTCCGGCGTTCCTTCGCCGCCAGGCCAACTGATTCGTCTCGCGATCTTCTTCCCTGATCGCAGCAGCCCGGAGCGTATGTTTCGGGCTGCTTCCGTAACGGAAGAAATTCCTCTTTTAATTCAATGTTTTGTCTGTCTGTGAATCGTTACAAACCGTAATAAAGCTTTATTTCGCTCTACAGGGGAACGCGACTATCTTCGCGACCAACTCGTGATCGTTAAAAGTCCGTATGAGCATTGGGGCAAATTTTGGGCTTTGCGGTCGCAAATCGGAAGGGCTGGGTTTAATGACCACACATGTTGACCGACAAACGACGCTTGCCGAGCAGGTAACCCTGACGGGAATCGGCGTTCATTCGGGCAAACCTGCGTCGATTACACTTGTTCCTGCCGATGCCGGTGTCGGTATCGTTTTCATGCGCACCGACCAGGACAGCGCCGCAGAAGTTCCCGCTCTCTGGGACAAGGTTTCTGCAACTGCGCTCTGCACGGTTCTCGGCGATCCGACCAAAGACGGGATTGCGACCGTCGAACACCTCATGGCCGCACTCTTCGGTATGGGTATCGACAATGTCATCGTTGAAATCGACGGCCCGGAAATGCCGATCATGGACGGCAGCAGTTCCGTGTTTGTGGAGACTATCGAACAGGTTGGGCTGAAGAAGCTTGACCGTGGACGCCGCTATCTCAAGATCAAGAAAAGCGTACGCGTCGACAATGGCGGTGCCTGGTGTGAATTGCATCCGCATGAAGGGACCAAATTCGACATCACCATCGATTTCGAAACACCGGTCATCGGCCGTCAGCAATATGTTTCCGAGATGACGCCCGAAGTCTTCCGTGACGACCTTTCGCGCGCCCGGACGTTCGGGAATGTCAAGGACGTCGAGCAGCTCTGGAAAATGGGATTTGCTCTTGGGTCATCCCTGGAAAACTCCGTGGCGATTTCCGACGACAAGGTTCTGAATCCGGAAGGCACTCGCTGGCCGGATGAGTTCGCCCGTCACAAGGCTCTGGATGCCGTTGGCGATCTTGCGCTGGCTGGTCTGCCTTTTCTCGGGATGTATCGGTCCTACAAGGGTGGCCACAAGATGAACCACTCCATTCTGGTCAAGTTGTTCGAAGACCCGAGTGCCTTCGAGATCGTTGAGGCACCTGCATTCCGGCAGGTCGGTCAGGTCGGCAAGGGTGGTCTTGCGGCAGCTGCTGCTTTCGGGCCCGACGTTTCCTGAATTTCCTGATAAACGGCTGTCTTATTGAGGCGGCCTGTTTGTTTCTTCAGAATTCACTGCAATTTGGGCATGTTGCCATAAAAATGCTCAAAAAAACCGTCAGATGGCCGTTGAGGACGTGACGGGGACAGGGGAATTCCGATAAACACTCCTGTCAATGAATCATAAGGCCGAAAAACCTGCGCGGCCGCATGGGCTGGAAACAGCTCGGGAGTATGGGTGTGAACGGAATTGCAACTGGTTCTGGTTTGAGCGGGACCGATTGGGTGAAATCTTTGCTGAGAATGGCTGTTCTTGCAGCGCCGATTCTTCTTGTCGCCTGTAGCGGAAAGGAAGATCTGGACGAACTTGCGTTGAACGATACGCCGCCGGAAGTTCTCTTTAACGAAGGTCTGGCGTTGCGCGCGCAGGGCAAACTTCGGGATTCGACCGAGAAGTTCGAGGAAATCGACAAGCTTTATCCTTACTCGGAATATTCCAAGAAGTCGCTCGTCAACCTGGCGTTTCTGAATTATTCGCGCGGCAAGTATCCGGAGACCGTTACGGCTGCGCGACGGTTTGTGACCCTTTATCCCGGCGATGAGGATTCAGCCTATATGCTTTATCTCGCCGGGCAGAGCTACTTCCGCCAGATGCCTGATATCACCCGGGATCAGGCGGTTACCCGCAGAGCGGCAGGGGCCTTTACCGAACTTATCCAGCGTTTTCCGGAATCCGAATATACACCGGATGCGGAAGAAAAATTGCGGATCGTTGAAGACCAGCTCGCCGGCAAGGAAATGCAGGTTGGCCGTTACTACCTGAAGCGGCGCAACTATGTTGCCGCGATCAACCGGTTCAGGGCGGTCGTCGTCGAGTTTCAGACCACCCGCCATGTCGAAGAAGCGCTTTTCCGTTTGACGGAAGCCTATTACGCACTCGGTGTGGTCAACGAATCCCAGACCGCTGCGGCCGTGCTCGGTCACAACTATCCGGATACGCAATGGTACAAGGATGCCTATTCGCTTCTGAATAAAGGCGGCTATCAGCCTTCAGAAGATTCTGGCAGCTGGATTAGCCGCGCATTCAGGAGTATCTAACGGGTTCTGGAAAGACGACTCGGTCCACTGTTATGGTGGGCTGCAACAAAGTCCGAGGAGCTCGCCTTCATGCTGGTCACGCTGTCTATTCGAGACATCGTACTCATTGATCGTCTAGACCTTGATTTTGCGGCAGGAATGTCGGTTCTGACCGGCGAAACCGGTGCGGGCAAGTCAATACTCCTGGATTCCCTGTCGCTGGCACTGGGGGCACGCGGCGATGCCGACCTTGTCCGCAACGGCGCGGCTCAGGGTCAGGTTACGGCGGTGTTTGACGTTGCAGGAGATCACCCTGTGCGTCTGTTTCTTCGGGAAAACGAAGTCGATGATGATGGCGACATCATTTTGCGGCGCATTCAGACTGCCGACGGACGAACGAGAGCATTTGTCAACGATCAGCCCGTCAGTGCAGGTCTCCTGAGACAGGCCGGCGGATTGCTGGTCGAAATTCATGGGCAACATGATGACCGGGCACTTGTGGACCCTGAAAGCCACCGGGCCCTTATCGATGTCTTCGGTGGTTTGACGCGTGACGCTGCCGCCGTTGCCGACGCGCACTCTGCCTTCCGTTCAGCGGAAAGAGCCGTTATCGAACATGAACGGCGCATCGAGGCCGCCCGCAACGAGGCCGACTACCTTCGATCTTCTTCCGAAGAGCTCTCCCGGCTTAAACCGGAAGCCGGTGAAGAGGAGCATCTGGCTGCCCGGCGAACGGACATGATGCAGGTGGAGAAGATTGCCGGAGACCTCAGCGAGGCTTTCGAGACACTCAACGGATCGGCCTCTCCGATTTCTGAACTTGCCAGCCTTTTGCGGCGCCTCGAGCGCAAGGCGGATCAGGTACCGCAGTTGCTCGCCCAGCCGGTCCGCACGCTCTCGGAGGCTCTCGACCAGCTCGAGGAAACGCGCAGCGGGCTCGAATCAGCATTGCGCGAGACCGAACACGATCCGCGCGAGTTGGAAAATGTCGAGGAACGGTTGTTTGCGCTCCGGGCTGCTTCCCGAAAATATTCCGTACCGGTAGACGACCTCAATACCCTGTGTGATCGCATGACGGCGGACCTGGCCGATCTGGATGCCGGAGAGGACAAGCTGACGGCACTCGCCGACGCGGCTGCCAAAGCGCGCGCCGATTATGACCGAAGGGCCGCCGCCCTCTCCACCAAACGCACAAAGACGGCACGTGCACTGGAAAAGGCGGTGGCGGTCGAATTGCCCGACCTGAAACTTGAGCGTGCCCGGTTCATCGTTGAGATGTCGAGCGATCCGCAATTGCGCGGCCGCACGGGCATCGATCAGGTGGAATTTCATGTCCAGACAAATCCGGGAACGCGTCCCGGACCCATGATGAAGGTCGCATCTGGCGGCGAACTCTCGCGATTTCTCCTTGCGCTGAAAGTGTCGCTCGCGGACAAGGGTTCGGCTCCAACGCTCGTGTTCGACGAGATCGATACCGGTGTGGGAGGTGCCGTTGCCGAGGCAATCGGGGTCCGTCTGGCCAGACTCGCGAGCAAGGTTCAGGTCCTGACCGTCACACATGCGCCGCAGGTGGCAGCCCGCGCCGAAGGACACTTCCTTATCGCCAAGGAAGCGACGGGTGCAGACCGCGTTGCGACCCGCGTCCAAAGGATCGACAAAGATTATCGCAGCGAGGAAATCGCCCGCATGCTGGCGGGTAGTGTGATTACCGAGGAAGCCCGGGCTGCGGCCCGCAGACTTCTGACCGCAGCGGAATAGGGGCGTGCATGAGCGAGAAAACGACCGGCAAACCGGATACGAAAGACATCCGTGTCGAGGACCTGACGGCGGATCAGGCGGCCATGGAACTTGCGCTCCTGGCTGAAGAAATTGCCGAAAACGACCGCCGCTACCATCAGGAAGATGCCCCCACGATCTCCGACGCCGACTATGATGCTCTGCGTCGCCGGAACTCCGCAATAGAGGCCCGGTTTCCGGATCTGGTTCTGGCGGATGGCCCGTCAGTCCATGTGGGTGCAACCCCGGCGTCCGGGTTCGGCAAGATCACCCATAGCGTGCCGATGCTGTCGCTGGACAATGCCTTCAGTGACGAAGATGTCCGGGATTTTGTCGGGCGTGTTCGCCGGTTCCTGAAATTCGACCCGCTGATGGGCGCCCTTGCAGTCACGGCGGAGCCAAAGATCGATGGCCTTTCCCTGTCTCTGCGTTACGAGGGTGGCGAACTTGTCCACGCAGCCACAAGGGGCGACGGAACGACGGGCGAGAATGTGACGGCCAATGCCAGGACGATAAAGGACATTCCTGAAAAACTGGCGGGCGATGTTCCGGATATTGTCGAGGTGCGCGGCGAAGTCTACATGGCGCACAAGAACTTTCAGGACCTCAATGCCCGCATGGAGGCGAATGGCGGCAAGGTCTTTGCCAATCCGCGAAACGCGGCGGCCGGGTCTCTCCGGCAACTGAAATCGGAGATCACAGCCTCGCGCCCGCTCAGGTTCTTTGCCTATGCCTGGGGAGAGATGAGCGAGATGCCTGCCGACACGCAGACCGCCATGGTGCAGGCATTCGAAGCCTGGGGCTTCAAGGTCAATCCGCTGATGAAGCGCTGCGAGGCTGTCGAAGAGCTCCTCGGTGTCTATCATGGCATCGAGGAGAGCCGGGCGCGTCTCGACTATGACATTGATGGCGTTGTCTACAAGATCGATCGTCTGGAACTGCAGGAGCGTCTCGGCTTTGTCTCCCGTTCGCCCCGTTGGGCCATTGCGCACAAGTTCCCGGCGGAACAGGCCTTCACGGTGCTGAACGACATCGAGATCCAGGTTGGCCGCACAGGCGCATTGACGCCGGTTGCCAAGCTGGAGCCGATCACGGTCGGTGGTGTTGTCGTCTCAAATGCAACGCTTCACAACGAAGATTACATCAAGGGTATCGGCCAGGATGGTGAACCGATCCGCGATGGCAAGGACCTGAGGATCGGTGACACGGTCAAGATCCAGCGCGCGGGAGACGTCATCCCGCAGATCGTCGATATTGACCTGGACAAGCGTCCGGGAGGATCCGAACCGTTCGTGTTTCCGACGGTCTGCCCCGCCTGTGGCAGCCATGCCGTGCGCGAGGAAAACGAAAAGACCGGGCGCAAGGACGCTGTCAGGCGCTGTACGGGTGGTCTGATCTGCCCGGCGCAGGCAACGGAAAAGCTCAAGCACTTCGTTTCCAGAAATGCCTTCGATATCGAGGGCTTCGGCGAAAAGCAGGTTGATGCCTTCTACAAGGACGGTCTTGTGATGGCACCGGCCGATATCTTCACACTTGAAGAACGGGACAAGCGGTCGCTCACCAAGCTGCGCAACCGCGAAGGCTTTGGGGCGGTGTCGGCCAAAAACCTCTTCGAGGCAATCGATGCGCGCCGCAGCATCGAACTTCACCGTTTCATCTTCGCGCTCGGTATTCGCCATGTCGGCGAGGGCAATGCCAAGTTGCTGGCACGCGCCTATGGATCCTGGACATCGTTTTACGCGGCCATGAAAGCGGCTCATGACGAAACGGGCGAGGCCTGGGCCGACCTCAACGACATTGACGGCATTGGTCATATCGTAGCTGACGCACTGATCGAGTTTTTTGCCGAAGAACATAATCGCGATCAGCTTGATGCCCTGTTGGGTGAGGTCTCACCGCAGGATGCGGAGAAGATCGAGGCAACAGGTTCGCCTGTCGCCGGCAAGACGGTGGTCTTTACCGGGTCTCTGGAACGCATGACGCGCGATGAAGCCAAGGCAATGGCCGAGCGTCTGGGAGCCAAGGTTTCGGGGTCTGTCTCGAAGAAGACCGATCTGGTCGTTGCCGGGCCCGGGGCTGGATCCAAGGTCAAGAAGGCCCAGGACCTCGACATAGACGTGGTTTCCGAAGACGGCTGGTTCGATCTCGTCGGTGCCTGAACAGGACGGGCAAGGTCACTGGGTTGATGTCTCTGTTTCGCGAGCGTTCTGAATTTCCTTGCCCTTTACGACAGGATGAACGCATCCGGGTGCTTGAAGACGACACGCGTTATCACTCGGTGAACAAATGGTCATTTGTTGGTTGTGCCGGAATATTACAGATGGCTGCGATCAAAGTCAGCCGCGCCAAAAACTTCCCGATGCGTTGAGTTATCCGTGGTCGACTTTCGCCCTGCGATTTGCCGGATAGGCAAAAATACTTAGGTAATTCAAAATAATTATACCACCTGAAATTGATTCATTTGACATTCTGTGAAAAGGCCGTCGTATTTTGTCAAGTTTGTATCTGACGTTAAGTAACAGGTAAGGCGTTCGCGGCAGTTTGGGGTCAAGATCTCTGTTCTGGAGGGGACACCAATATGAAACGGATCAAACTGCAGATCGCGGTGCTTGCAGGAGTGCCGATGCTGGCGGTGATCGGCTTTGCGGCGCTCAGCGTTGCTGAAAAGGTCATCGAGCGATCGCACCATGCTTACATGAAGCCGATGACGAGAATTGCCGAAGATGCTGGCAATCTGATTCACGAGCTGCAAAAGGAGCGCGGCATCAGCGTCAAGTTTGTCAAATCGGACTTCGACCCTGAATATGCAGCCCGGCTCGATGAGCAACGCCCGAAAGTCGATGCCGTGCTCAAGGTTTTTGACGAACACCTGGCAGGGCTTGACCTGAATGATGCAGAGTTGCTGAAAGATCTGCAGCACGTTGCTGAAGAAGCGCACAAGACCGATAAGCTTCGTTCTGAAATCGATGCCCGGAAAGTGGCGGTGAGCGATGTACTGAAGAAGTACACAAAGGAAATCGACGAACTGATCCACGTCGTCGGAGTCACAACAGAGGTGAGCCCGTCAAAGGAAATTACTTCCGAGCTTCTGCCGTATCTGACAATTGTCGAAGCGATGGAAGCTGGTGCGCTTGAAAAAGCCAACGGGGCAGCACTTCTCAAACAGTTCAACAAAACAGGCGAGGTCGATCTTTCGCTCTATAAGAAGGTGATCTCGCATTACGGCGGTGAACACGCCTTTCTCAAGGAATTCAAAGCCGTCGCCACGCGTGAGCACAAGGCGATGTGGAAAGACATGGTCACAGGACCGGATGTCGATAAGGCGATTGAATGGCGTTATGTGATTCAGGATTTGCCACAATCAAACGACTCCAAAGGTGTTGAAGGAACAGCCTGGTTTGAAATGGCGGACAAACGCCTCAACCTGATGAAGGCATTTTCAGACGAACTGATTCACCGGGCCGAGGCTGCAGCGGACGCGGATACCGCTGCTCTCGATAGTCAGATCTTATGGCTCACGGTAATCGCGGTGGTTCTGACGGGTTTCGTGCTGGTTTTGGTATTCTACCAGGTAACGTCGATTACCCGGACGCTCGGCCGCCAGCGCGATACCATCACATGTCTCGCGGAGGGCGACCTGGATGTGACCGTTTCCGATACGGATCGCCCGGATGAAATCGGCGATATCGCGCGGGCGTCCGAAGTTTTCCGCGACAACCTCACTCGTCAGAAAGAGCTGGAACAAGAAGCCGAGGCGGGACGTGAACAACGCCGCAGGCGCTCCGAGCAGATGGAAAGTGCGATCCATCATTTCGAGGAATCTGTTTCCGCCATTCAGGCGCAGCTTTCCTCGGAATCGGAAGGCGTTCGCGAAAATGCCTCCGAACTGGTCCAGATTGCATTGCACGCTGACGAAAGTGCGAGTGCTGCAAATTCAGCGACCGAAGAAGCAAGTGCCAATGTGCAGACGGTAGCGTCGGCAGCAGCGGAATTGTCCGCGTCGATCGGCGAAATCTCGCGCCAGGCGGCATCCGCCACCGAAATCTCCTCGGTTGCAGCTGAAACGGCTGTTTCTGCCGACAAGGACATTTCGCTGCTGGCCGAGACGGCGGACAAGATCGGTGAAGTTGTCGAGATCATCCGCGCAATTGCCGAACAGACCAATCTGCTGGCGTTGAATGCCACCATCGAGGCTGCCAGAGCCGGGGAAGCGGGCAAGGGTTTTGCCGTGGTTGCAGCGGAGGTGAAGGAACTCTCCACCCAGACAGCCAAGGCGACTGACGAGATCGCAAGCCAGATTTCCGGTGTTCAGGCTTCCACGCAGAAGTCGGTCGCGGCAATCCGGTCAATCGTCGAGAGAATCGAGGAGGTGCGCTCCGTCAGCGAGACCATCGCGGTGTCGGTGGACGAGCAGAATGCCGCCACCAGCGAGATCACCCAGAGCATCACGTATGCGTCTGACGGTGCCACTGCGGCTGCAACCAATGTCACCGGTGTCTCGGGGTCGATTGACCAGACACGTCAGAAGTCCGAAACGCTCAGCATGTCTGCCGAGCAACTCGGCGAGGTCGCCACGAACCTTTCCGAATCCGTCAATCGCTTCCTGGAAGAGGTCCGTTCCGAAGAGGCTGCATAAAGCTTCATCGGAATATTGACCGCTTCACCCCAACATGGAAGCGCTGTGATCCCGGTTTGCCGCAAAACGGCAGGCCGGGATTTTTTTGCCCCTGAAGACGTCTGAAGCCTGTTTGCCGAAGTTGAGTGCGGATTGACTGCTCCGGGAAGTCGTTTGCAGATTTCACCGGCATTTTTGTCCCCACGAAATCTTGGTTTTCTGTCTCGCCAGAGCGAGTTTGTTGCTATATTGTTCTCATTCGAACATCCTGCATTGAATAGAATGCCGAATGATGCTCGAAAAGTTTAGGCACATCCGTCTGACCTTGAGCGCTCTTACGCAACTGGACCAGTAAATCATGGCAGACCCGGGCGGGTATGACGATTCCTTCGACGATCCCTTTCAGCCGAGCGTTGCGCGGCAGGACGCGTCGCCTGTACCGCCGCGCCCGCAAGGTGGTATCGCGGCAAGGGCGATGGCAGCCAGGCAGGCCCCGGATTATCTGGCCGGACTGAATCCGGAACAGGCACTTGCCGTTGAAACGACGGAAGGACCGGTTCTTGTGCTGGCCGGTGCGGGAACCGGTAAAACCCGCGTCCTGACAACCCGGATCGCACATATCCTGGCAACCGGCCGTGCCCGTCCGTCCGAGATTCTCGCCGTGACCTTCACCAACAAGGCCGCGCGTGAGATGAAGGAACGTATCGCGGGCTTTGTCGGCGGAAACGTTGAAGGCATGGCGTGGCTGGGAACCTTCCACTCGATCTGCGTGAAGATCCTTCGCAGGCATGCGGAACTTGTCGGACTGAAATCCAGTTTTTCCATCCTCGACACGGACGACCAGATCCGCCTGATCAAACAGATTATCCAGGCGGAAGGTCTCGACGACAAGCGCTGGACCGCCAAGGCCTTTGCCGGAATCCTGGACGGCTGGAAAAACCGGGCGCTGACACCGGACCAGGTTCCGGAAGGTGAAGCGCGCGCATTCGCCAATGGCAAGGGGCGCAGGCTTTACGAGGAATACCAGGAACGCCTGTCGATCCTCAATGCCGCCGATTTCGGTGACCTGCTGCTGCACGTGATCACGCTTTTCAAGACCCAGCCCGATATTCTCAAGGACTACCAGCGCCGCTTCCGCTACATGCTGGTGGATGAATATCAGGACACAAACATTGCCCAGTATCTGTGGCTGCGCCTTCTGGCCCAGGGCAACCCGAATGTCTGCTGTGTTGGCGATGACGACCAGTCGATCTACGGCTGGCGCGGTGCCGAGGTCGACAACATCCTGCGCTTCGAGCACGATTTCAAGGGTGCAACGGTGGTCAGGCTGGAGCGGAATTATCGATCGACCAGCCATATTCTGGCATCAGCGTCACATCTGATTTCCTTCAACGAGGGCCGTCTCGGCAAAACGCTTTTCACCGAATTTGAGGAACCGGACCACGATTTGGTCTCGGTCGCGTCGGTCTGGGATTCCGAAGAGGAAGCGAGGACCATCGGCGACGAGATCGAAGCACTTCAAGCCAAGGGCCATTCTCTCAACGGCATGGCAGTCCTTGTGCGGGCTTCGTTCCAGATGCGTGAATTCGAGGAACGGTTCGTCACGCTTGGCCTCAATTACCGGGTGATCGGTGGTCCACGATTTTATGAGCGCATGGAGATTCGCGATGCGCTTGCCTATTTCCGCTGTGTTGCGCAGCCCGCAGACGATCTTGCCTTCGAGAGGATCGTCAACACACCGAAGCGTGGTCTCGGCGATGCGACCCTGAAACTGGTGCACGGCCTGGCACGAGCGGAGCGGATCCCGCTGACCCAGGCAGCGCAGCAACTCATCGACACCGAGGAATTGAAGCCCAAACCGCGGAATTCTCTCAAGACCGTGCTCGACAATTTCGAGCGCTGGCGGCGGCAGCTGGAGCAGCTCAAACACACCGAACTGGCCGAGATCATCCTGGATGAGAGCGGCTATACGGAAATGTGGCGACTGGACAGGTCGGCCGAGGCTCCGGGACGTCTCGACAATCTGAAGGAACTGATCCGCTCAATGGAAGAATTTGAGTCCATGGCGGGTTTCCTTGAACATATCTCGCTGGTGATGGACCGGGACAGTGCGGACACCAGCGATGCCGTCTCGATCATGACGCTGCATTCCGCCAAGGGTCTGGAATTCGATACGGTTTTTCTGCCGGGGTGGGAAGAGGGGCTCTTTCCTCACCAAAGGTCGCTCGATGAAAGTGGCCGGGCAGGCCTCGAAGAAGAGCGCCGACTTGCCTATGTCGGCATCACGCGGGCCAAACGGCGCGCCAAGCTCTATTTCGCCTCCAACAGAAGAATTCACGGGCTGTGGCAGTCCACGGTTCCTTCGAGGTTTCTTGACGAATTGCCGGCGGACCATGTCGAGATCGCGGAACCGTCGTCCAATTACGGCGGATATGCCGGTGGCGGATACGGTCCCTCGCGGTTCGATACCAATGACCCGTTCGAACGTGGCAGCTACTCGACGCCCGGCTGGCAGCGCGCGCAACGGGCCAAAAAGTCGAACGACGGTTTTTCGGAAGGCGGACGCGGGTATCAGTCTGCGCGCATGAAACGCCAGGGCCCGTTGACCATCGAGGGCGAACTGGTTGCAAAGTCAGTCAGCGAAACACCTTCGGCCTATTCACTCGGAGAAAGGGTGTTCCACATCAAGTTCGGGTATGGCGCCATCACGGCCATAGAGGGAAACAAGCTGACGGTCGATTTCGAAAAGGCCGGGGTGAAGAAAGTCATCGACAGTTTCGTCGAACGCCACTAGAGCGCAGCACGAACGGTAAAACCGGCCACCTGGCGGTGGCCGGTTTGTCTCCCTCTCGCATTTCTTAAGTCATTTGCGGGTTTGAAACACCCTTTGAGGGAGACTTGACATCGGCCTCGGTGGGAACTCGGCCGAATAGCCTGGTGTCATCAGACCTCAAAATCGGCCAACAGAGGTGATGCACCGGAGAACACGGTTCTTCCGTTTGCAGCGTAGGGCGACGCATTTCGGGTTTCTTCCAGTATTGCGTTCATGATCTCCCGCATATCGGCATCCATATCACTCCCGCGATTTTCGGACGTGCTGCCGCCAGGAGGTGGCGGCGGTGGTCCGATGTCGCCGTTCTCGAACATCGCGCTCAACTGGTCAGCCAGGTCCTGCGTCAGGGCTCCTGTCTCAACCTGGTCGGACAACATGGTGTCGAACCTGGCCTGTATGTCTTCCCCGGACGGCGGAGCGGCGGCGAAATCCGATGCGTCTGCTGTTCTGTGGTCTTCGTGTACCGCATCCAGGGCCGCAAGCATCGCGTCGGCTTCTTCGGTGGTGATTTCACCATCTTCGACCTGTGTATCGAGCGCATTGACCGCCTGGTCTCTCGGGGATGCTCCCGGCGGTGGCAATGCCGGTCCTGCACCAACTGGCATCATTGATCTGCTCCTGAAATGAATGTCCTGCCTTGAGTGAATTCAGGCTGGCATCTTGAGTGTTAACGCGATGTTAACCGTGGAAACGCGTTGTTTTCAGCGTGTTTCCATCGCGTTTTCCGGAAACACGGGGAAACAATTTTCTGAAGTTTCCTGATGAAATTGTCCCCGGAACGCGCTTAAGGTCCAGTGATGAACAGGACGTCCCATATACTCGTTGTTGAAGATGATGCCGAAATCGGACTGCTGATGAAAAGGCATCTGGTGTCGAACGACTTCAAGGTGACCGTGGCGCGCGACGGCTCTGAAATGGATCGTCTGCTGGCAAGCAACCGTATCGATCTCGTTGTTCTCGACATCATGCTTCCTGGTGAAGACGGCGTCAGCATCTGCCGCCGCCTGCGGGCCACAAGCCCGGTTCCCATCATCATCGTGTCTGCAAAAAACGAGGATATCGACCGGGTGATTGGCCTGGAAGTCGGCGCCGACGACTATTTGCCCAAGCCATTCAATCCGCGAGAACTGATTGCGCGTGTCCGGGCCTTGTTCCGCCGCGTCGAACTGGGGGCGCGGGCGGCTCCGGCGGAAGAGGGGAGCCTGTGTTTTGAGGGCTGGCGAATGGATTGCCGTGCCCGGTATCTGTTCAATGCCGACAGGGCGGTGATTTCACTGACGCCGGCGGAATTCAATCTGCTTCAGGTTATGGTGGAACGCAGAGGACGGGTTCTGAGCAGGGATCAGCTGATAGAACTCACCCTCGGGCAGATTGGTGCATCCAACGGACGAAGCGTGGACATTCTGGTCAGCAGGTTGCGCGGCAAGCTCGAGGCTGGCGGTGCATCCTACCAGTACATCCGAACCGTCCGGTCCGGCGGCTATGAATTCGTGGCCCCGGTCACGCGTGAAGGACGTGATGATTAGGCGCCTTTGGCCCGATACCATGCTGTACCAGCTGCTGTTGCTGATGGTGGTTGTCGGCACCTTCATGACCCTGGCCGGAGTGGTCGCCACGCTCTTTGTGCGGCAGGCGCTCGACGACAATCTTTCGGTGATGAACAGTCATCTTGTCAGCGTGGCGGTGGCAAAGCTCAACGAGACACCGGCAGATTTGCGCAAGACGATTCTCTTGGACCTTCAGCGGGAAGCGCCTGGCCTGAACATCAAGCTTGTTGAGGAGAGTGACCTTGCTGCTGCCACTGATGGGGAACGTGGCCGGCGTTTTGGTCCGTTTCGCCTCGGTGACACGCTTCTTGGCATGCGCATCGAACATGTTCTGGGACCGCGGGAACTCGGCAAGGGCGCGCCGCCGCGGCTGTTCATCCGGCTCGAGGACGATAGCCTTGTCCTGGCAGAGTGGGGATTTCGAGGTCCGCCGCCGCCATTGCTGGGTTTGCCGTTTTACCTGTTTGCCGGTTTCCTGGCCCTGACATTTTGCGCCCTGCTGACTTGGGCTGCACGGTCCCTGGCAAGGCCGATGGCGGAGCTCGCACAGTCAGCGTCTACATTTGGCGAGTCGGGCACCGAGCCTGTCCCGGTTGCCGAAAAAGGGCCCAGAGAAGTGCGGGCGGCTGCGGCGGCATTCAACCGCATGCAGGTCAGAATCGACAGGTTCGTGGAAAAACGCACCCGTACGCTCGCCGCGATCAGTCATGACCTGCGCACACCGCTGACGCGTCTCCGGTTGCGCCTGGACCTGCTCGAGAACGGCGATATCCGGGACAGGAGCCTTGAAGACCTGAACATCATGGACCAGCAGATAAGTGCGGCGCTGGGATTTCTGAGAGAAGGGGAAAGTTCCGAACCCGTGCTTCGGATCGATGTCCCCAGTCTGCTTCACGCGCTCGTCGATCAATATTGCGACCTGGGATTTCCCATCGAACTTCGCTGCAGCGGGCGATTTTCGATCAACGCCCGAAGAGGGGAGCTGTTGCGGGCGTTGTCAAATCTGGTCGACAATGCCAGGCAATATGGCGACGGTGCCGAAATCGAAGCCGGGGTCCGGGACGGCAAGGTCCAAATCGATATCGTCGACCACGGCCCGGGGATAGCGGAAGAAGAGCGGGATCGACTGCTCGAACCCTTTGAACGGGGGGATGCCGCTCGTCAGATCCGGCAAGGCACCGGATTCGGCCTCGGACTGTCCACCAGCAAGGCGATCGTGGAGGCGGCTTCGGGAAAACTGGACCTCTTGGAAACGCAAGGAGGCGGCCTTACCGTCCGTATGACGCTGCCGATGGAACGCGAAAGGACCTAGAGATCCACTCCCTTGGGGGCAATCAGCATCGACCTTTCCTTCAGGTAGGGATGAATTTCGACAGCCTGGCGAAGGGTTTCCTGGCCGAGCTTCACACGCCCCTGCGTTATGAAGATCATCGCCTTTCCCGATAGCGCGCCGAAATGTCGAGGCTCCAGATCGAGCGTCCGGTCGATGTCTTCAAGACTGGCCTCGTAGTTGCCCTGGAGAAACAGTACGAAAGCACGCTGGTTCCAGCCTTCCGAGTAGTCGGGTGCTTCCGCGATGACCTGGTCGAGCAGATCTCTGGCGCCTTGAAAATCGTACTGTCCCCGCAATCGCATGGCCGTCTCCAGTTTCGATTGCAGGTCCGGTGAGGGGGCAGCTTCCAGCCAGGAACGCCAGATTTCGTTTTCTATGACTTCGGCTTCGGCCTCGTTGGGCGCCTTTTTCAAGGCATCGAAAAGCGCGTCCCGGGAGCTGTCTGCATGAGAAATACCGGTAAGCCAAATCAGGCAGAGCGCGATGCCCAGTAAAAGCCGGTTGACCTGTGCCAGTGAGAATAGCTGCCTTTTTCGTGTCATCGCATGCCTCCGTCCCGAAAAACATGGCGCGGAGAGCGCATTTGACCAGTCAAATGTACTTGACGCTGGCGTGTTGCCTGCCTTGAGGCTATATCGCACGCCTTGACCGACAACTTATCGAGGCGGATACACGCATGAACACCATCCGGGTACGGGTCGTAGCTGACGAACGCGAAGCAAAGCGGTTTGCAGAATTGCTTGAACATGTGTTCGAGGACGATGGCAACCCGGTTACCGTTTTTGAAACGTCAGAAGACGACAGGCTCTGGTCGGCCGAAGTGCTGGTGTTCGACTTGGGAGCTGACGACGCCCGGGATCTGGTCCGCAGCCGGGTCGGTGGCGATGCGCTTGCCGGAAAGCTGGAGGCCGAAGAACTCCCGGATATCAACTGGGTGGAAAAAAGTCTTGAAGGCTTGAATCCGGTTCGCGCCGGTCGGTTTGTGGTACATGGCGGTCACGACAAGGACAAGGTTCCGGCCGGGGCGATCGGGCTGGAAATCGAGGCGGCGCTGGCATTTGGGACAGGACATCACGGCACGACGGCCGGATGCCTTGAGGAAATCGACAGGCTTCTTTCCCTGCGCGAATACAACAGCATTCTCGATCTGGGTACCGGAACGGGCGTTCTGGCGATTGCTGCGGCGCTCAAGGCGCGTCAACAGGTTCTGGCGACAGACATCGATCCTGTCGCAACCCGGACGGCGCTGGAAAATGCCCGCCTCAATGGGGCAGCCCACCTCGTCAAGGGGTTCACGGCAAACGGCGTGGAAGACCGGCGATTTCGACTTTACGGACCGTTTGATCTGGTCATCGCCAATATCCTGGCAAGGCCCTTGATGAAAATGGCCAAGGCGATCGGTTCGCAAATGGCTCAGACCGCTACCCTGGTCCTGTCTGGCCTGAGGGTTGAGGATGGTCCTCGCATCCTGTTTGCATATCGTTGCCAGGGCTTCGTTCTGGACCGACAGCGCGAGAAAGACGGCTGGCTGACACTGACACTGGTGCGCGGCCGCAATTTTGCCTGAGGCGATGATTTCTGCGGTCTTCCGGATACGAAAAGGGCCTGCCGGACAGCCGGCAGGCCCTTTTTCACGTGCACAGTACTTCTTTGCGAGCGCCTGAGCCCCATTTGATCACGGAAGGTCCATTGAAAGACGGACGCCCCGGTATTGATCGCATTTGTTGATGGCTGTGCATCTCATCCGCGTTCAACCGAACGCTGAGTGCATCAGAAGGGGTTAACTGCAGCACCTTCGCGCTCGAGCTGGTCACGGTCATAGCCGTGAGCGGAAAGAGTCGCGTCGTCCAGGGACAGCAGGTAGCCATTGACATAGCGGCGTGCCTGATGCGAACGGGCTTCAACCATACGGTCAAACGCGCGGCGCATGAAGCTGTTGCCGGAGCGGGTAGAAGTCGTGGTTGCGATAGTCATCTCAATCATTCCCATTTGAAGTTGAAGAGCTTCCCTAGGGAGAAACGTCTTTATTTGTTCTTGTCCCTAATATGCAGGTTCACGCGCGGATCCGGTAGGCCTCCAGATGCATGACAGCTTTGCGTCTTTCGCATATGCGAAGAGATTGCTGCGTTGCAAAATGACGTTAAACTGTTTCTGATTCAGCGAGTTTTACGGAAAAATTATCCGTCTTGATCCGCGGCGGCGGTCAAATTACCGTGCCGCTCATGTTCCAGTCCTTCGAAGATCTCAGTGATCCCTCCTGCGGAGCGCCGCATGCAGCGCTTCTCAGGGCCGAACTCGCCCGCCTCGGCCTCGACGGCTTTCTGATCCCGCGCGCGGATGCCCATCAGGGCGAATATGTGCCGCCGCATGACTGCCGCCTGCAATGGCTGACGGGATTTACCGGCTCGGCCGGTGTTGCAGCGGTTCTGGGCGGCAAGGCTGCCATCTTTGTGGATGGGCGCTACACGATCCAGGTGCGCGAGCAGGTGGATATGGAGGTGTTTCCCGCGCAGCATCTGATCAACGCGCCTGTGAGTGAATGGCTGGCGACGCATTTGCAACCGGGACAAAAGCTCGGCATTGACGCCATGCTGCATACCGTGCGTGAGGTTCGGCGTCTGCGAGAAGTCTGCCAGGAAGCGGGCGCAGAACTGGTTACGCTCGATGACAATCCGCTCGACAGTGTCTGGGAAGACCGCCCCGAACCGCCTCTTGGACAGGTCTCGCTGTATCCGGTCGCGCTGGCGGGAAAGTCCTCTCAGGAAAAAATCTCTGCGCTTCAGTCTGCCCTCAGCGACAAGAAAGCCGATGCCTGTGTTCTGACGCAACCGGATTCCATTGCGTGGCTGCTCAACATTCGCGGGTCGGACGTCACGCACACGCCTCTGCCCCTGTCATTTGCAACCGTCCCATCCAGCGGAAAACCGTCCCTTTTTATCGACGGCCGCAAACTTTCCAATTCGGTACGGGACACCTTGAGCGAACTGACGGACCTTGAAGAACCGGGTGACTTCAAGACCGGACTTGCGTCGCTCGGAAAGGCCGGTTCGAAGGTCATGATCGATCCGGCGCTTGCCGGTATCGGGATTGCGGACGCGATAACGGATACAGGCGGCACTCTGATCGAGGCGCAAGATCCTGTTCTGTTGCCGAAGGCGGTCAAGAACGAGACGGAACTCAACGGCGCGCGCGCAGCGCATCTTCGCGATGCAGCGGCATTTGTGAATTTCCTGTGCTGGTTCGATGAAGAGGCCCCAAAAGGCGGCCTGGACGAGATCGGCGTGGCAGAGAAGCTGGAAGAATTCCGGCGGGCAACCGGTGTTTTGAAAGACATTTCCTTCGACACGATCTCAGGTGCCGGACCGAACGGAGCCATTTGCCACTATCGAGTCAGCCGGACAAGCAATCTCCGGATTCCTCAGGGAAAGCCGTTCCTGATCGATTCAGGCGGACAATACGAAGACGGCACGACCGACATCACCAGAACGCTGGCAGTTGGTGATGTGAGTGCGGAGATGAAGAAAAATTTCACGCTTGTTCTCAAGGGGCACATTGCGATCTCGACAGCGCGTTTTCCTCAGGGCACGACAGGTGCGCAACTGGACACGCTTGCCCGGATCGATCTGTGGAAGGCGGGACGGGATTTCGACCACGGAACCGGCCACGGCGTGGGTGCCTATCTGGGTGTCCATGAAGGACCTCAACGGATTGCCAAAACCGGGACGGTGCCCCTAAAGCCGGGCATGATCCTGTCCAATGAACCCGGATTTTATCCGGCCGGGGAATATGGCATCCGACTGGAGAACCTGGAGATCGTGACGGAAGCTCGGGACATTGCGGGTGGGGAAAGGCCGATGCTCGGCTTCGAGACCATTACGCTGGTTCCCATGGATCTGCGTCTCGTCGACGTGTCCTTGCTGACAGCTTTCGAACGCGATTGGTTGAACCGCTATCACACACGCGTCCGCGCCGAGGTCGGACCTCTGGTCGGGGCAAAGGAACGTATCTGGCTGGAAAAGGCGACGGAGGCGATCTAGCCCGAACGGAGCGCATCGGGTCGAGTACGTGCCACATTCTTGACCCGACGTTTCGTCATCCCGGTCGCCGCGGGGATGACGGCGTTTGGCTCGACCTTGCCCGAACTGTCCGGATAACCGCATTCGCGACAATCAGCAGCTTAGTGATGCTCTTCCTTGGTGGCCTTGATCAAGGCAGCGTTGAAGTACCGCAGGCCCCTGACATGGCGGGCCAGACCGATAACCTTGGTCGCATCTCCCTTCCGAACGACGGGCAACGTGGCCTTGCCGCAGGAATCGAAGCTTTTCAAGGCGCTTTCCAGGGTATCGGTATCGTGCAGATAGGGCCCATCTTCACCCGGGTTGAAGAGCTGCTCTTCCTCGTTTTCCGGTGGTGGATCCATGAAATCACGGACCTTCACGGTTTCGCTCAGGAATTGATGCGCGCCTTCATTGACGAAACATCCGCGCATGCCAAGCTGCCAGTGGAAATAGGACTTGCCGTGAACGGCCTGTGTCAGTCCCGTTGCGATCGAGACCGCGAGCAGCAGAGCGATCGACAGGGCGTAACCGCCGGTCAGTTCGAAGACAATGACGGTGGTTGAAAACGGTGCTCCAAGCACCGCGGCCGCAACCGCTCCCATGCCAAGAATGGCATAAAGGCCATGGCTCGAAGCCATTTCGGGAAACACGGAGGCTGCGATCAGACCGAACGCACCGCCTGTCATGGCGCCGAGGTAAAGGGATGGCGAAAATATGCCGCCTCCAAACCTCGATGCGAGCGTTATTGCCGTTGCTGCGGTCTTCACCACAAGAAGGGTCAGCATCGTGTTGATGGTCAGTTCGTGTTTCAGCGCAAGATCCGTCGCCTCGTAGCCGACTCCCAGAATCTCCGGATAGAAAACACCGATCGCACCGACAGCCAGACCACCGATAACCGGTCTGAGCCAGAGGGGCATTGTTATATTGCGTGCCGTCCAGTCGCTGCCGATCAATGCAAACTGGAAGATGATGGCGACGGCCGCACACGTCAGTCCAAGGAGCGCAAAAGCGGGGATTTCCAGATAGGACGTGATTTCGTATTGCGGGATTTCGAAGGCTGCAACGTTTCCGAACCACAGGCGGGACAAAAGCGTTCCCATGACCGACGCCAGCACGATGGGCACGAAGGCTGACACCGCGTAGTGCGCCAGCACGACTTCATGGGCAAACAGAACACCGGCGATCGGAGCGTTGAAGGAGGCTGAAACACCGCTGGCCACGGCGCAGGCGAGCAGGATCCGGCGGGCTGAATCGGGAAGCTGGAAGAAACCGCAGACCGCCGTTCCTACCGTTGCTCCAAGGTGAACGACCGGGCCTTCGCGACCTGCGCTGGCACCGCCGCCGAGCGAAATAACCGTGACCAGCGCGGACCACAGACCGGCCTTGAAGGGCAGACCGCGGCCTCCATAGGCGCGCGCCTCGATAACGTCGGCAACTCCGCCGGCCCGCTGATAGGGGTGGTACTTGTGCAGGATCCAGCCGACCAGCAATCCGGCAATCGCCGGCGCGAGCATGACAATCCACCAGGGTTGCTGGGTGGCAGCCTGGATCGTGAGTTCAGTCGTCGTGCGCAGCCAGGGCCACTGGATAAGTCCGATGGCGGTGCGGAAGGCAATCGCGGCCAAGGCCACCAGTGCACCGACAAGTAGTGCAAGCAGCCAGACCACGGGCAGTTTGCTTGCCCGGAACTGGCGCACGTTGGGGGTAATCCAGCTGATGAGGATGTCTGGAAGTTGACCGGCGGTTTCTATTATCTTGCGCATTTGTCGGGCCGGAGAAGCGAGGACATTGTCTTGTTGTGCCCATCTTGCCCGAGTCGGTGCGAAAGAACAGGCCTACAATCCCGTCATATGCTCCAAATCACTCCATTTTGTTGTTTGAACCGCTTATTTTGCGATCGCAATGCGCCGGCCGGCTCTTTCGGGCAGCAATAGCGCGGCCTGCGCGTCGCTTAATGACTTCAGATTGGCCAGGATATCTTCCGGCCAGGGGGCAACCTTGCGGGCGGTCATGTCGACGTGAAGGCTCAGTTGTTCGGAGGTTGCCGACAGCCAATGCTCTTCGGCGTGACGCAGTTCCTGAAAGAAATGGGCCCGCTTGGAGTCAAGCTCCACAAGTTGAAGTGTGCCAATCACGGGCATGCCTGCACCAAGTTCGCGAAGATAGCAGACATGTACTTCCGCCGTGAAATAGGAGGCTCCGCGTGTCTTCAGATATTCGGGTCCAAGGCCCAGTCTTTCGAAGACCTGGTCGACCGCCGTGTCAAAGAGAACGTTGTAATAAGCCATGTTCAGGTGGCCGTTATAATCGATCCACTCGTCCTTGACCGTCATGACGTCACTTTCGACCGGTCCTTCACCCCACTCAGCCTTCATGCTGGACTCCTTCAGAATTTTCCTGCAAAGCTCTGCCGCCAAAGCCGGATTTGGCTTTGACCTTTTCCTCATCCGCTAACATATTCAATAACGAAATGCGGGGCCACATCCAGGTTCCGGAAGGAAGGACGGCGGCTCGAAATGGCGATAGAAGCAAAAGCAGACCTGTTGAATGAGCAGCAGCATGATGTTGCAGGTGTTATCAGGACACTGAAGGAGCGGTTCGCTGATCGCTGCGCGACATCGCATGCCTTGAGAGAGCAGCACGGACACACAACCACCTGGCTCACGAACCAGCCGCCCGACGCTGTCGTATTTGCAGAAACGACCGACGAGGTGGCTGAAATCGTCCGGCTCTGCGCCGCAGAAAATATTCCGGTAATCGCCTTCGGCACAGGGACTTCGCTCGAAGGACATGTCAACGCACCTCGCGGAGGAATTTCGATTGATCTCAGCAGGATGAATCGGGTTCTTGAAGTGAATTCGGACGACCTTGATTGCCGGGTCGAGGCGGGCGTGACCCGCAAGCAGCTCAACAGTTATATCAGGGACACCGGATTATTCTTTCCGATCGATCCCGGTGCTGATGCCAGCCTCGGCGGCATGGCGGCAACCAGGGCATCAGGTACGAATGCCGTTCGCTATGGGACAATGAAAGACGCGGTTCTCGGGTTGACCGTGGTTACGGCTGACGGGAGCATCATCAAGACAGGCGGCCGTGCCAGGAAGTCCTCTGCCGGCTATGATCTGACGCGTCTGTTTGTCGGGTCTGAAGGAACGCTGGGTATCATCACGGAGCTGACCATCCGGCTTCATGGTCAACCGGAGGCAATTTCGGGAGGTGTCTGTCCTTTTCCTGATGTGGAGGCTGCCTGCCAGGCCGTGATCATGACGATCCAGATGGGCTTGCCGGTCGCACGGATCGAGCTGCTCGACAGCCTTCAGGTCAAGGCTTGCAATGCCTATTCAAAGCTGGACCTTGCGGAGACGCCGACACTGTTCCTGGAATTCCACGGATCGGAAGCCGGGGTTCAAGAGCAATCGGAGATGTTTTCTGCCATAGCCGATGAACTTGGCGGCGGCCCGTTCAAATGGGCCACGGTGGCAGAAGACCGAACCAGACTCTGGTCGGCACGTCACGATGCCTACTGGGCGGGCAAGGGATTGAGACCGGAAGCTCAGATCGTGGCGACCGATGTTTGCGTGCCGATCTCGCGGCTTGCCGAATGCGTCATCCAAACTGCGCAGGACATTGAGGCCGAAGGACTTCTGGCACCGATTGTGGGTCACGTCGGCGACGGCAATTTCCACGTCCAGATTCTGGTTGATCTCGATGATCCGGAGGAAATGCGAAAATCCGAAGCTTTTGTTGAACGGCTCGCGATCCGTGCCCTCGATATGGGCGGAACCTGTACAGGCGAGCACGGTGTCGGCCAGGGCAAGCAGAAATACATGAGGCGGGAACATGGTGATGCACTCGAAATGATGCAGGCAATCAAGCAAGCGCTCGATCCGCACAATTTGATGAATCCGGGCAAGATCCTGCCGCAATCATGATACTCTATCGAATCAGTTCGATAAGCTCGTTTTAACCGCGGCAGCTTATATGTTAGGCGGCAGGCGTAACTTTCCCTGTTTCTATTTGCGGTGCAGCAAAGATGCGCTACATGTGTCCGGTGAAGGGTCCGGTGACTTTGGAGAACAAGGAGACAAGGCCTGAACTCCGTTTACATCACGTTGGGAATTTCCGTTATTCTGGTGCTGGTTGCGGCACTGGTCGGACCGTTTTTTATTGACTGGACCGTTTACCGCTCCACCTTTGAAACCTATGCAGAACGGGCGTTGGGACACAGGGTAACCGTGCTCGGCGAAGCCGACTTGCGCCTGTTGCCTGCTCCGTCCATCAGTTTTTCCGACGTGCGGGTCGGCGAAGCGGAAGATCCGCTGCTTGTCGTTTCACAATTCAATGTCCGTATCGAGCTGCCGCCGCTTCTGAAGGGCGAGATCCGCGTTATCGACATGGAGCTGGATCGGCCCCACCTGTCGTTGTCGCTTGACGAAGACGGCAGACTGGACTGGCTGACCGCGCGTACGTCGGATGGAGCGTTTGCAAATGTGCCGCCTGAAGATGTCGCATTCGAGAAGATCACCATTCGCGATGGTGCGCTTTCCATCGTCGATGCACGATCAGGTGAAACGCATCGTGTCGATAATGGCAACCTTTCGGTCAGCGCCCGTTCGCTCGCCGGACCTTTCAAGGCGACCGGCAGCCTTACCCTTGAAGGTTCGCCTTACAATCTCTCCATTGCAACCGGTCGCGCCCAACAGGATCTTGGTATTCGCATCAAGGGGGAGATGACACCGGTCGACTGGGCCGTGAACTTTGCCTTTGACGGCATGCTGCAACAGTCCGACGCTGCACCTGCTTTCGACGGCAGGTTCAACATCGCGTCGATTGTTCTGGAGGAAGACGACAGCAACATCTGGACGTCCGAGGGCCGGTTCACGGCTGATATCGCAGAAGTCGCCGTGCCTGAGTTCGAGTTTCGCTACGGGCCTGATGACAAGCGTCTCAGCGTAACCGGCAGCGCAGACCTGGTTTACGCAGGGAACAAACGGTTCGAGATCCGGGCGACGTCCAAGCAGGTCGATCTGGACCGGTTGCTCGGCGGCGGACCGCAAAACCCCGTCGAGCTCAATTCGGCGAGCGGACAATTGATCTCGGCGTTGCGCGCGGTGCCTCTGCCCGCGATTGACGGGTCACTCTCGCTCGATGTTCCTGCCCTCGTTGCCGGTGGTGGCATTGTCCAGAACGTGCGGCTTGATCTGGAGACAATGCTTGGTGGATGGCGTATTGCGCGCCTGGCTGGGCGATTGCCTGGTCGAACAACGGTCGCAACCCAGGGAGATCTCGGTCTTGAGCCCTCGATGAGCTACCGGGGGGCCATTTCAATCAGTTCGGACCAGCCCGGTTCCTTCCTTGGATGGTGGCAGCAAAAGGAAAGCAATGTCTCCGCTATGGAGCCGATTGCTTTGGAAGGGCGCCTGAACCTGCTTCCGGAAGGCGCTGCGTTGAACAATCTTCGCCTCACCATGGACGGTTCCGAGGCGCGGGGGGCTCTTTCCTATCGAAAACCGCGGCAAGGCAATGCAGAGTTTTCGCTCAGCCTTGATGCGCAAAGACTGGACCTTGATGCGATCGAAAGCCTCGCGGGTCTTATACGGCCGAGCCCTGGAAAGAACGGCAGTGCGGAAGATCCCAAAGGGCTGAATGTTTCGTTGCGGCTGCGCGCCAAGGAAGTGGTTGCCCGCGGCGTCGATGGCAAGGGCCTTGCCCTGGAAGCCGAATATACCGATGGCGGTGTCCGGATTGATCGGTTGTTTGCCGAAGACCTCGCCGGCGCTCGTCTCGATGTCACGGGGGAAATCAGTAACCTGTTCTCGGCTCCCGAAGGCGCAGTCGCAGGTGAGCTTGATGCGCGTGACCTGTCCGGCCTTGTTGCTCTGGCGGGCAGCATCTTTCCTGATACGGCATTCGCACGCCATCTTGAAAAGGCTGCCGGAAGTCTCGTTCCAGCGACCTTTCAGGGCGAACTCAAAGCCGCAGCAGTCGGTGATGGCACCGACATGACCCTTCGCCTCGATGGTACGGCAGGGGGGGCGGAGGCCGTCGTCAGCGCAAATCTCACGGGACGGGTAGACGATTGGCACGATGCCGGTGTGAATTTTTCTGTCGGGTTGAAGGGACCTGACGGCGGGAGACTTTTACAACAGCTTGGATTCGACATCATTCCGGTGGGTACAAACAGCAGCGGCCAGATCTATCTGATTGCAACAGGTGTTCCTTCAAATGGATTGGCAGTCGAAGTTGCCGCCACCATCGGTGCATCCGACCTGAAGGCGGAAGGAAGCCTTGTTCTCCAAAAAGACATCGATCCGGAATACAGCGCCAGTGTTTCCGCAAAAACGGATGATCTGGCACCTCTTGCACTGATGGCCGGCAGGGTCCTTCCGGTCATGACCGGCACGATCCCGGCTGAAGTCGTCTTCGATCTCAAGGGGCAGGGGAGTGACCTGCAGATCGACAACGCTACAGGTTCTCTCGGTGACACTTCGTTCGAGGGACGGATTTCAGGAAATCTTGAACCGGCTCCCGGAGAACGGAACCGGCGGTTCAGCGGTGAACTTTTTGCCCGTCAGATTGATCTTCGGGGTTTGACCGAACTTGTGCTCGGGCCCGATCAGTGGTTCTCGGTGGGTGACGGGTCGAGCATCTGGCCATCGTCGCCATTCGGAGCACCGTTGTTGGATCAACTCGACGTTACGCTTCAGGTCGAAGCGGACCGTTTGCTTGTCGATGAGACAACCGAGATTGCCAACCCGCGTGGCGAACTTCGCCTTTCCCCCTCGCTCATGCGGCTCGACGGCCTGTCAGGCGCTTTTGCCGGTGGCAGCCTGAACGGCAGCCTGTCTGTTCAGCGTTCGGACGCGGAAGCGGCCTTTTCCGGACGCGTCAAACTGAACAATGCCGATCTTCGCCAGCTGGTCTGGAAACCCGGAAATCGTGCTGTCGCCTCCGGAACGCTGGATCTGTTCCTGGAATTCGAAGGTGCCGGGCGCTCGATTTCCGCGATTGTGGCGGGACTAAATGGTGGCGGCACGTTTTCCATGGAGCAGGGCGATTTCCGCAGCCTCAATCCACAGGCGTTTCCATTGGTCACGCGTGCAGCGGACGCCGGTCTGGAATTGCAGGACGACAGGATCCGCGAGGTTTTTGTCAATCATATGAGCGCCGGGAACCTGCCTTTTGAACGGGTCGACGGAACGTTAACGCTCGTCGGCGGGCGGCTCAGTGCGCGTAATGTCGTCGTGGACTCGGCACGAGCCGAGATTTTCGGGTCTGGTGAAGTCGACCTCAGAACCTATGATCTCGATGCCGATTTTTCCCTGAAGGTCGACCCGGGAGTAGATGCTGTCACCGGAGCGGAACCGCAAGTTGGCCTGTTGTTCGAGGGACCTATCGAGCAGCCCGAACGTCTTGTCGATATTGCACCCTTCACAGCCTACCTGACCTTGCGCGCTTTCGAGCAGGAAGTTGAACGGGTTGAGAAACTGCAAGCTGAAATTCTGGAAAGGGATCGGCTTGTTCGCGAACTGAAACGACAGAGACAGTCAAGGGACCGGCGTGTGCGCGAAGCCGAGGCGGCAGCCCTTGCAGCGGAAGAAGAACGACTACGGCTTGAAGAAGAGGCACGTGTGCTGGAAGAACTCCGGGAGCAACAGGGCGAGGATAGCCCTGTTCCCGCACCGGGACCGACACCGTTACCGCGCCAGCAGAGTGATGCGGACCCGTCCGGCAGCGATCAGCCGTTTGCCGACCGCATCCGAGCATTGCTGGGGGACGCAGACCCTCAGACAACGCAATCGATCCCACAATCAACTCCAATCGCGAAACCGACCGACAGCCTGCCGCCGCTTGATCCGCCGATCTCCATCGAGGACCTGATCACGCAGGACGTCGGTGCACCGCTGGTGTTGCCTGGGGCTCAGTAAGTTGTGTTTCGCCTCGGCGGAAAATCATTGAGTGTCTCTAGGTCTTCTTCCGGAACTATCATGGAGTTTCCAGGATTTCCCGTCGGTTGGGCCACCCCTTCCGGGAGAATGAAACTGACGCTTTGCGACCCGGCCAGACCTGAAGGCACGCGTATAGCGTCCAAAACTCGGTAGACATCCCTGTGGCCGAATCTGACCGGTTCAAGTTTTCCTGCGGCAACAAGCTGAGCCAGTCCGGCCTCAACAGGCAACAACTCGTAGTACCGGGCTTCAACGTCGCTCGACACCGCTTCCTTTGCGATGCTGACGACGCCTCCCGGATTGAATCTCAGCAGAATCTGCATCAACTGCCGGTTTACGGAACCGGCCATCAACTGCCGAACGGCCGGACTGTGGTCGGAGTTTTCGGAAACACCCACAGTCGACGCGACGTATGACAACTTTTTACCGTCGCCGGCAGTCTTCGGCGGCTGATCCGAGTATTCGCCCGACGGCAGTGCGAGTTCATGGATTGTGCTGTGTCCGTGTATTTCGACGGTCGATGTCCCGACAAGGTCTGTCGATTGAAGCCAGGCTCTGATGCTTCTTACGCTCTCTTTTTCAGTAACATGGGAGATACAGTTGGACGACGAAACAAAGGTTGCTTTTGCGCCTGAAAGGCCTGTTGCTCCCGCCATGATTTTCCCCTGATCGTTTTCCCGGCCGGACAGAACGACGTTTTCCAGACGGTTTAATGCGCCGGTCAGCTGCCAGATCATCGGACTTTGAGAAGTGAGTATCAGGTAAAGCGGTGTCTCTCCAGCTTCGATGTTGATCTTCGCCACTGGCGTCATCCTGTCCTGCCCGGAAACCGTGACTGACGAAACGCCGGTGCCTTTGGACGCGCCAACGAGGTGAACGTCTGCTTCAGCGGAAGCAACAGGCACTTCACAGGCATCCTGCTCCCCTGGAATTCGCGCTCGAACTTGGGCATCTGTACCGTCTTTGAGGATTGCTCGCATGAG